TTGAATCACTCCATAAGTTTAACTCTTATAAAGGTAGCAAACATATAATTCATTCAATTCAATTCATTCATTTATTTAGAAAAAATAAACATTACATATACTTTTTACATTAAATAATCGGAAATCAGGTCCCTGCGAAGCAAAGCTTCAGTGCAGGGACCGAGTCGCAAACATCTTCCACCATGCCCATAAACCATATACTTAAAATGTTCGTAATGACGAGAAACCTTGCGCAAAACTATCCATTATTTCATAAATTGCCCTTTAAGGTCGTAATTCTTTTCTAAAGGAAACTTTCCATTTACCTAATTTTAAAATACCTCAGCTGTACTTATTTGTTTGTATTACTTTATTCTGTTTTGTTTATTTCAGCCCAACCTAACCAATCAATAATGCTATTAAACTTATGAACTCAAACGGGGCGAAGCCCGTGGGTAACAGCTAGTTACTATAAAGAACATTTAACGTTACATCTCGTTTTCTTGTAACTTTATGGAAATTCTGCTATTTTTCCTGAGTCCTTGGGGTCAAGACCTTTAATTTAAGACCTCTCCCACGTTTCTGCGACTTACCAGACGTTCACAATTTTAGGGTAAAAATTTTGTCTTACAGAATTATATATAAGGATATTTATGACGGCAACCTTATCCTAACCTACATTAATTTTGTATTTAAAATAACGGCCTTATAGTCTAGTCAAGTGGGTTTTTAAAAGGGCTTGAAGTGGAAAGTTCATAGGTAATTGTTTTTTTAAGGCTTACTTTATATTTTTGGAGGTTCTGAACACGAACCTGAAGTTGTCCAACAAAATTTCTTTCGGCAAATAGAAGAAAATTAAAAAATGTGTAAAAATCTTTAAATAGTCTAAAGAAACTAAATAAACATTATCACAAATCTGACACATACTTTCTCCCATAAGCTTGTGAACAACCTTTATCATGGGTAAGTTGGTGGGATGAGTAACTATAATAATTTTGTAGAAAAAATCCCAAAAGTTGCAATAACTTTTGAACCGTAATTGTTACAGTAAAGGAAGTTGTATTATTTTGCATTATTAAAAAAATTAATTGGACCTCTTAGTTTGGAAAAATATCTTTCATTCAAGTTAGGCTAACTTATAAGGCTTCCTAGTACCTTTCAGAGAGGTTACTTCGATGTATTCATTCAGCTTAGTGAAAACATAATAGGTCTATCTCAAAATAGATAAGTATACAAATCAGAACTTAACTCTTAGAGAGCCTTTGGATGTTATTAGACTAACGAAAAGGGTCTATGCAGATAACATTATTTCTGGTTTTATACAGTATACAGTACATTGCCAAATATACTGGCAAATAAGAGTTTGAATTATATACGCAATCCTCTAAATTATAATATTGCGTACTGGATTAGTGATAAATCACGATCAGCAGTATTGAAGTAAACAAAAATCAGCTGTAAAATGGCTGCTAATGCTATTCTTATGGAGAACACATTACTTTAATTTACTTTACTTTTGTGTAGAAACAGTTTGTGGTTTGTTTTTGTTTGCTTTTGATGATGTTATTTTCAATAGATTATTTGAATCACTCCATAAGTAAATCACTCTGCTAAAGGCAGCAAACATATACTTGTTTGTGAATAAATACGGTACTGTCATACTAAAGGTAGATTTAGTTTCGTGATTAACTTGCATAAAAAAGGATTCCCTGATTTGAATGTTAGACATTGCCTTCGTGAAATATAAAAAGGCAAATAAAGGCAAAGAAGGTGTGTTGAGGTATGCTTAGTTCTTGGCCAAACAGCTAAATCAAAATAATAGTTTATACTCCTTTTGTAAAAGGTTTAACAAAATTAGTGTGAAGTAAAGGTATCCCATTGGCCAAACCTAACCTGATCAACATAAACAACTACAATAATTAGCCTAGTGTAAGATTATTAGGTGGTATTCCTCGTAAAGGTGCGATTGACTTGACACCACCAAATAAAGTTTGACACCACCATAAAATAAGTCTAATCATCAGCTGATTCCTAACTCATTTGCGATTGGACTGGTTCCATTACCCAGTTATCGAAACCAATTACGAAAATACTTTTCATCAGCATTTACATGCATATTTTTGGTTTGTTTAAAAAACGTAAAGAAACAGAAACTACATCTAGGTTTTACTGTTATATGTGGATGCTCCATTTACTACTATACCATACTTGCTAGCCTATATTATTTTAACCTTTTTTGCTTGGAACGTAAAGACAGTACCTGTTTCAAATCTCCTCCAAACAATATCGTTTTCCGCCCATTGGAACTTGTCATAGTACTCACTTAGTTAAGAAATTTATTTCCTGATCAAACCTATTTCATCTTTATTCCCAGGTTATTTTGTAAGAGTAGCCGTTGAGGTTATTTTACTTCATACCAAATATTGATTATATACAATAAATAAAAATTATAGGCCCTATTATATACAATTATATACAAAAATTGATATACAATAAATCTAAAAATTTAAAATGTTAGTTAATTTACAAAGAAGGTGTAGAATAAATCTAGAACATGTGTTTTGAAATATAAACAAAGCAGAAGTTTTCCATCTTGAATCGTTAATTATTTAGTCAACGTGGTTATTTCATGTTAAACGTTAAAAATACACAAATTTGAAAAGTTTCACAGTAAAATAATTTACTTCAACATTCTATAACCCTAAAAAGTCTTAATTAATATAGGTACCCTTAACCCTGGTTTTATATAGTATACAGTATGTTGCAGAATTGACTAGCAAATGGAGTAATCCAAATGTAATTTTGCATACTGGCTTAAAGATAAATCACGATCAAAAAAGTTTTGGAATTTCACTACCGGTATTTTTCCCGCCGTTACGGGATCGAGACCTTTAATTTGAGCCCTCTCCGGTCGTTCTACAACTTCCCAGTTGCCCACAATTTTGACGCAAAGAATCTGCTTACGTCATTAATATATAGTTGTGTCATAATTTAAAAAAATCCGGTACAGCAGTAAAGCAGTATAAAAAATTCAGGCTAAGAATCATGAAACAGTCTTGTTCCCCATCCGTGGGGCAGGACTAAAATTGAAGTTTAAATTTTGATTTTAAAATAGCCACCTAAGTAATCATTCTCTTATTGTTATGGAATATGCTCAGGTTCATTGTTAATAAGTATGTGCAATATTTGATATAATACTAAAATTTGAAGGCTTTACTTTCAATGTCCTTTATTTTATTGTTATATTTAAAAGTTATTGCTAAAAGTAATATTTGCAATTGTAATTTATAACATTATAGATTCCGTGCTTGCAATAATTATACAGGTAGTAATAACGTTTAGTTTTTGAAATCCGAATAGAATTAATAATAAATAAAAAAAAAAACAGTATTTTCTACCACTTGTAGCTACGGGCCACCAGTTCTGGTTACGATAGTAATAATTCCCTGTGTTGGGAGGGAAACGCCACCGAGCGTTCTTACTCGATATAATGGGGGCGAAAATCGACGAATTACCCACCCAGCCGTGGCGCGGGGATTTCTGAAGCGTCCGTCCGGGTGAAACACCATTTTGAGGGTGTCCGCGTCAAACACGTCCGGGCTAAACACGGAGCCTTGTCAAATTAGAGGCAAGATCAAGATGGGGTCATCCTGTTGTTTTGTTGATAGTAAACAAAAATATGTCAACATTTTGATTGCAATATAAATTTATTTACCTATATATATATATAAATATATAAAATATATAAAATATATAAAAGGCAAAGCCCTCACTGACTGACGTGGACTGACTGACACTCACTCACTCACTCATCACTAATTATCCCACATCCCATTTACCTAGGAGGCTGAAATTCGGTACACCGATTCTTTGGGCATTAAATAGGAAAACTAAGTAGTTTTTATTCTGATCGGGCTTTCAGGCTCCGCCCCAGTGGCTCTGGAGTTTCCCATGTTAACCTTGTTATGATTTTTCATACTTAAAAGGAATTTCTTAACAGCTGTTTCAATTAAACAAGTTGGTTCTGTTCTATGCACTGAGCTAAAATTATAACTGGAGGTAGCACTGCCATGGCAGAAGTCTGTCAAAAGCGTGTCGCTGATTTTGTTAGGTTGGTATAGCAGCGAGTTTTCTTATCATAGCAATAGCATGGCTTCTATAACTAGGTTGGTATAGCAGTGAGTTTTTTTATCCAATAACATGGCTTCTTTATAACTCACACCTCACGCAAACATGGCGGCTGGCGACACGCATCTTTGACATTCAGTGCTACCTCCAGTTAGAATTATAGCTCAATGGTTCTATGTTTTATCTATGGTTCTATGATGTTCAATAGCATTAAAGTTACAAGGATTACCAATTGGGTGCAGCACTATTATTTTTTTAAATTTATGACTACAGCCAATTAATTTGCAACCAAAAGGTGAGTGAGCGTAGCGAACGAACTTCAACCTGGAAGCGAGTTAGCGTAGCGAACGAGCTAACCTGAAGGCAAGTGAGCGGAACGAACGAGCTCCAACCTAAAGGTGAGTGAGCGTAGCGAACGAACTTCAACCAGGACGTGATTGAGCCATGCGAACGAGCTCACTTGTGAAGTTAAACGGGGCAAAGCCCGCGGGTACAGCTAGTTACAAATAAATTTAGTGTGGCCTTGACCATCGATATAGAGATCGATGGCCTTGAGCCGGGTTTTCCTAGGCGCGTAGTCGGCCAGCGGAGAGAGGAACGCGGAGAGCGGACTCATCTTGTCTTAGGTAATTTAATGTTACTGTTTTCCTAGCAGCGGAGCGGAATGCCATGTTAATTTCAATTTCGCTCTCCGTTGTCCGCTCTCCGCTGGCCGACTCCGCGTCTAGGAAAACCCAGCTTTGACTAGACCCTAGCCACAAAAAAAAAAATAATAAGGCTGAGTCCAATTTAGTTTAGTGAGTCCGTCAGTCCCTGGACTGGAGTGGAGTGAGTGGACTCGAGTGGAGTGGAGTCGGAAGATGAAGTGATTAGTGATGTAGGATGTAGGTAGATTTAGTTAGAAAAGAAAACAGAAAAGCAAGACAATAGTTATAGTGAGATTTTCAATTTCAAAAAATACGAACGAACAGTCTAATATTAAAGAGATTTGGTTAGTTTTATTGATGCAGTGATTTCACTATATTTGTGTCTATGAAATCTTCCCTGAGTTAAATGTGAATTCAAAGTCAATTACTTACTGTGTGGTTGGTAAGTAAACTGATGTTTAGTGTATCAACTTATTATGTTATGTCCTTCCTAGGCCCTTTCAAGTAACTAGGCCTAAGCTAAGTTACGGTAGGCTAACTGTTATCTTTAATTGAACAGATTATTTCAATCATTATTTAGAATTAACGTTGGGTAGGCCTACAGTTTCATGACTGGGTTATGCTAATATCGATTGAAAATATTGTTTAATAATCGACAAGTTATTTTAAAATATCGCAGAGGATACGCGTCCGGTAACCAGACGTGGATTAGGCGTCCGGCAGTTACTGTCATAACCTAACCTAACCAAACAAACTTGCTGATAATGAAAAAAATCAAATGAAGGTTCAATTCTCTTCAGGCTGCACTTTACTTGACGTCCTACACTCATTCGAATGAAAATATCGATTAATCGATTGCTTCATTCGATATATCGTTTGGTTAGTTAGGTAAGGTTAACCTAACCTAACTAACCAAACGATATATCGAATGAAACAATCGAATGAAAATATCGAATCGAAAAAAACAATCGAATGAGTGTAGGACGTCAAGTAAAGTGCAGCCTCTCTTCATAACATAAAATTATAAATGCCAAAAATTCTAACAAAAGATGTACAGTTAGGCCTAAGAAGAAATTACATTCAAAGCAAAATCTGTGACAAAAAGTTAAAGTAACCGATGGGTATCGAACCAGGGACCTCTTGGATATCAGCCGAGCACTCTATCCACTATACCACAAACAACGCTGGCCGAATATCGTATCGTTGTGGTAATGGCGTTCCGGGACCCCACAACCCGGTGACGTCACTACCGGACGCCTAATCCACGTCTGGTTACCGGACGCGTATCCTCTGTGTTAAAATATAGCCTATCTATTATAAAATGAAAGTGACATACTTTAAAAACCCTCCGAGTGTCCCTTGTTTTGGCCTTAATGTCTGCCTATTTTTTGCTCATTTGCAAGGATTTATTAAAACGGATCTGAGAAGCCTGAAAACAATGTTAATTATAGGCCTACTGTTCAATTTACCATTTTGTTTGGAAAATCATGGGCTTCAATATTATAGCCTACATAAAACATAAGGAACATTAGTTTCAAACAAATTTTTTAGGTAAAAAAAAAAAATATTTTGAAAAATTTTCAAAAAAAGTTTGCGCTTAATGAAATTGTATAAATTAGGCCTATAGGCCTATAAATAATTGAAAATAGACACTTTGTTCTAAATTTTATGAGGATTACAAATATATAATAATATAAGGAAGTAGATTTGCAAATAAATAAGTTATGGGCAAAAAACATGATTTCAGTACATAGCGTTTAGCTAAGAATGCGTAGCCTAACCATAGCTAGGAATCTGGCTGATAATTTACATAAATATCACTACCTAATTCTTCAGGATCATCAACCAGCCCTTCAAAATCACTTAAATCTTCTTATAATGCACCACGTATATCACTACTTTTGATTTTTAACACTAAAACAATGATAAACGTAATAAAATACATCAGTCATAGGTGCGAGGTTAACCAAGCTGTTTACAAATACGCACGTCAGCTGTCTGCTACAATATTTTCGGAACTAAAATGAGAAGCTCCTAAAGACAGACCTCCGGAGAAAGCTCTGAATCTGTCAAATAAAACGATACCTAACTCGATCCAGTTCAATCCGATTTTGTCAGTCATAGAGCCTTCGCCGTAAACAGTGTTTGTGAGTCGATGCATCGACAAATAACACTCGGAGGGTTAACCTAACCTAATCAAACTTGCTGATAATGAAAATATCGCATGAAGGTTTACTAACCGAATCGATAGTTTCAATCTACATTAGCATAGCCCAGTTCAGAAACTGTAGGCTAAGTATTCTTAATGCTCCTGAATTTTCCTTAGGTTCCTAACTAGGCTACACTATGAAGTGAGTTCTCTGGAAATATTAAAGCAATAAGATTGCCGGCAAAGTGATAGCCTATCTCAAGAAAATTAACTTAACTTACTAGGCCTATATGGCATAATCTTACTTTAATACCACTGTGTCCCAGATGACCAGATTATTTGGATGGATAGGCTGTGTCATTTGCAGCAAGTTAAGTTAAGTTTAAAGTGCACCATATTTAAAAGCGATTAACTTACACGATTCCTGTTGTGAGCAATGGGATTCATTAGAAATAAACAATGCCGTATGGCTAATTTGAGCCTAAGAAGTACAAGTTGCTCTACTGTTACCCTTTTCGATGCTAAAATTTTTTTGTAACTTTCCAAAAAATGCAAGAGGCCACATTAGGCCTAAGTTAACTTAAGTTATTTTTGTTACCGTTAACCCTTTCAATGCTAAAGTTTTTTTGTAAGCATCTCAAAAATGCAAGAGTTACTTAAACTTAAGTTATATTGTCTGAAAAGTACTAAGCTTGCCTCGGGGGCCAAGTTGAGTGTGCTGAAAAAAATCTGTAAAAATTAAATTTTTCATCTGAAATAGCGCTAAGGAACGATATATTGGGCCTCGATCGTATGAGGAATTGAAAGAAACCATTGCTATTTCGAAACAACAATCGAGTCAACCGATATGCCCACTTAAACTCACACGATCGAAAGTCATTCCAGGACAATAACTTATATCGTCGCTTAGCACTTATTGGATGAAAAACGAACAACGATGTAGGCCTACCGGTATTGTTCCATAACTTAGCACTTTTTGGGGAAAAGACACACAACGATATATCGTCGCATAGCACTGAGAGGGTTAAAGGCTTGCAGCAAACAGTAAAAATTTGCTTACACCCTGGAGAACTTTGGTCACATGATGTAGAGGGGTACAATTCCACAGAGAACCTATGGTAGGCCTATACTAACTTATTGGATGAAATATTAGGTAAGTTTGAGAAATATCTATTGGGTATCGTTTTTATGCGACTAAATATCAATTCTATATTGAATATAATGAACTACCGTTATCCATAGTGTCTTTCTAAGAATCAACTCCAAAACAAACATTTTGAATTTTATATTTTTAGAGTTGATGGGTGATTGATTTTTTTTACCTCTTGTAGGGTCTTTAACTTACCTTACAGTAACATTGTTCTGCGGTGGTAATGAGTAGATTAGCTTAGCTTAGTTCAGTTTGGTTTGGATTATTTTATGATTTAACTTACCATAATAGCATAAATTATACAGTAGCCTGAAATAAATTATACAGTAGCCTGAAATAAATTAAGTATAAACTAACATATACCTAATAAAATAAATGTAACATGATGAACATTTAAAAACTGATGTTGTGTAATTTGTTAAAGAGATGAATGTACAAAACGTCAATTTGTATTCGTGTTCTCTTTTTCATGAGTTTAACTTTAAAAAGGTCAAACTTAGTTTTTGACTATCTTAACTAAACTGAACTAAACTAACCTACCCATAAGATACAGTGCAATGTAAAAGAGTGGCTGGTGGCTCTCTTGGCTCTTGGATACCCTAGACCCATTAATAATAATGACAAAATGAATATTGTCATGAAATTAAGTTTAGTTCAATTGTATTTAGGCTTATCTATATCAAATGAACATCTCATTCGATAATATAGGACTTACTGCTAGGTTCTCTGCGGGACTGTACCCAAGTACCGCTTATCGTTCTATGGTCATTGATTTGATGGCTTCAATCAGCTGACTTAGCCCGAACTTTCCAGGTTAGGCCTAGTCTTTTCAAGCCTAGGCATCATGGAATCTCCTGATACTGGTTGACCTATTCCTGGTAGGCTATCTACTTTTATGTATTTTATGAACCCTAATCTGAATATTTGACAATCTAATTAAACTAATGCCGGTTTTTTCAGATCAAGAAAATATGCAAACTTCAGTTAGATAATGTAAACATTTGCAAAAAGAGGTCATCATGAAGTAAGACTATTAAACTCATGTACCCTACCAAAACAAATAATTGACAATGGATATTAATGAAGGTAGGCTCAGTAATTTATTACCTAGTGTTGTTTTCTGTGAGCCGTAGTTAAGATAATGAAAATTTTTCAAGCTTCCAATAAAGTGCCTTGAATAGTTCTGCCTTGAAAACAACTTGAATTTCAAAGGAAAAGTAGGCCTGCTCTAGACCTTTTATGTATGAACAGTTAAGCCAATCGGGCACCTCTAGTAATCCATCATTAATTTCACTTTTAAAAGAAATATGCGTTATGTAATGGAAGGAGGAAGTGTTTGGCAATGTTGTGTGAGTAGGCTGGGAGTGTTGTTAAACAATAACTTGTTGTTCTGACCTACAGAAGGCTGTTGCTTTAAGTAGGCCAGTGTTCTTGATCAATCAGGCCCTTGGCCTTGGGTCCAGGTTAGAAAATGTTAAGGGTTTTCAAAATTGGGGTTCAGAGTCTTTTCCAAATTGGGGTTTCAGTTTCTAACTAAATGATTTATACAGTTCCAGTCTACTTACTCTACCTTTTCGTTTGTTGTTTGTCTTTGTGTTGTTTTGAGTAATTAATAAAATTGGGGTTTTGTAAGCAAGTGTTGAGTTTCATTCCTGAGCTATGTCGCCCAAAGTAACAGTGGGTATTTCAAGGAGAGAAATACCTATTGTTACAGTTAGGCCTACATAATCTTTTAACAGTTAAATAAGCCAGGCATATTTTGTTTTATTCATTTGGCAGGTTATTTTGAAGGAAAACACCAATAAAAGTTTTCCCATTTGACCCCAAAACAAAAAAATTTGCAAAGATTGGAAAAAAAGTTGTATAAGTTATTGAAGCGTTTTTGTATGGCTAAATGGTTTTGTAGAAAATTACAAAAAGTAAAGGCCTACTGTAAATTAAACATTCCCATTTTATTCTTAAACTGTTGTAAATACTGTAGATTGTTTTATGGAAATATTAATGAAATTTGGCTAATTATTTTTCCTACAGTTACCTAACAATATTCTCTCACTGATTTGAGAAAGCAAAGTGGCCAATTTGCTCATCAGTGAGACATTGTTAACATTGTCTCACTCTAATTACTTTGTCTCACTCACTCCAGATTTGCAACGTGAAGGCACGAAATAGTGAGCGTGTAACATGCAGACAAGGTCGTATGCGCGCGAAACACGTTGGCAGCACCTCTAGTAATCCATCATTAAAATTTCACTTTTAAAAGAAATATGCGTTATGTAATGGAAGGAGGAAGTGTTTGGCAATGTTGTGTGAGTAGGCTGGGAGTGTTGTTAAACAATAACTTGTTGTTCTGACCTACAGAAGGCTGTTGCTTTAAGTAGGCCAGTGTTCTTGATCAAGGGTCAGTTTTGTGTGTAGTCAGTGTAGTGTAGTGTGTGAGGAGCTGGAGATTGCCCAATTTTTGCTGCATCATTTTGGACAATTATCCTCCAAAATTGTCAATTATATATGTTAACATTGTCTCACTGATGAGCGAATTGGCCAATTTGCTTTCTCAAATCAGTGAGAGAACATGTACATTGTTAGGTAACTGTAGGAAAAATATAATGTGTAACTCGAGTGCAATGTGCAATTGCCTCACTCGAGAAACCATTCCTCACTCGCCTACGGCTCGTGAGTAAGTATTTCTCTCGAGTGAGTCAATTGCTCCCTTTGCTCACTAGTTGCACAAATAACTATTATTCAATTCTTAGCTATCAACATTTCAACAAAAACACAATAAACCTTATTAACTTACCTTCCCTGTATCAGGAATCCTAAGTAGGTATTAAGTACGGTACCCATTAAAATTGAATGTTATTTAAATAGGAAATGAATCTGATAATTTTCAAGGGAATAGTTTAATTGACATTTTGTCAGGTAGGCCTGAATGAAAATTTGCTTAGTATGCAGGTTTGCTGTGGTAGGGCTATTATTTTTTACTATTATTTGAAGTTAGTCAGTTAACTAGTATGATTTAAAAAAGTCTGTTATATTTTAATCTTATCAGATCCATCACAATAATGCAAGGCCTAATACAATACATGTCATCTAAAGTTATGATATTTGTTAAACAGTCCTATCTTAATGTGTTCATTTTACAACTGTGTTTTACAAAGTTGTGTAGTTCTAAAAAGTGTAAGTTGCAGTGTATCTTGAAATCAGAACTAAGTAACTGTAGTTTCTATTTTAGTTTTTCCAGCCAAGATTATTAGGCTATTTAAAATAGGAAACAACAATGTCAGTAGACCCTATTAATTAAGTTGTGATATTTATGCTGTTAAAAGAAACTGGAGATAATATAAAAGCTTACCCGTACCTACAATTAATTTTTGTAGGCCTAAGTACAATAGTTAACCTGATCTGGAGTAAATGATTGCAGCTTACTCCATGAGTAGTTGTTCTGGCTAATAATTTATCACCAGCTATTATAATGTTGTGTCACTCTAGCCACATGCCAGAATCCACCAATGCTTTAAAACTATGTTTTAAAATGTTTACAGTCATTAAAATGTTTACAGTCAAAATACCTCCACCCAAGCCTGAACACCTGGAAGCACTGAAGAAATACTTTGGCCATTCTGAATTTCGACCTACCCAATGGGAAATTATTCATTCCATACTCGAGGTAAACGTCGTAACTAATTGATTATTAGTAGCTTTTGTATTAGTAGTTTTCTTTCATATTGATATTTCAGTCGTAATTAAAAAGAAATTATATAATTAGGTAATTTGTTAAACTTTAGCGTAGAAGCTTACTTTCTTTAACAATTCAATTCAATTCAAATATCTTTATTCATTTTTATGTACATTGTACAATAAATAGTGTCAAAATAATTACAATAAAAATAGTGTCAAAATAGTTCAACAGGATAAAAAACAGCAAAACATGAGGAATGGTTATAAAAACAACAAATACATTTTACAAATCTAGTAAGATAATTTATCATAGCGACTGAGGGAGGTGAAAAAATCGTCAAATGAATAAATTGCTAAATTTATTAAAAACTCTTTCAATATTTTTTTAAATTTGTTTGGATTTGTTTCTTTTTTAATATTTTTTGGAATAAATTTAAAAAATCTATTACCTGCATAGGATGGTTTCTTTTCAAAAAATTTAGTCCTATGTGGTTGTACATTTTCGTTCTTATTTCTTAAATTATAAGAATGGGATTTTTCTTTTGGTTCCGAATATTCTTCTTGTTTTTTTGCAATTATTATTGATTCATATATATACTGCCCGTAAACAGTAAAGATTTTTAGGTCCTTAAAATGCTCTTTAGCTGACTCATCATGCAGCAGCTTAAGCATGATTCTAACCGCTCTTTTTTGCTCCTTTAAAATGCTATCTAGATTACATATTTTTGTTGAGCCGTAGAGTGCTATGCCAAACGTGATATGTGAATGCACATGTGCAAAATATATATTTTTTAAAGTTTTTAAGTCACAGTAAAAAGACATACTTGATAAAGCATGAATTCCGGAATTAATTTTACTTAAAATTTTGTGGACATGTTTATCCCAATTCAAGTGCTGATCTAGTGTTAAACCCAAAAAATTTGTACTAATTTCTTCATCAATATGTTGTAAGTTATAGCTTATTGTTATTGGCTCCTTCTGTCTATTTTGTTTTGTCTTAAAATTTATAAATTTAGTTTTTTGTAAATTCATCATCAAGTTGTGGCTATTAAGAAAATTTCCAATACTTTCCAATTCTACATAAGCGAACATTTCTGTTTGCTCTATTGAGTTGGATGATATCACCAAATTCGAGTCATCAGCATACAGACATAGTGTTGAATTTTTATTATATGTTAAAGAATCTTTCATTCCACATAGATAGCACAAAAAAAGCAGGGGCCCTAATATTGAGCCTTGTGGCACTCCGAAAACTATTGGCTTATAAGTTGAGCATGATTTAATAATTCTATTGTAATTTGTCAAGTGAGTTATTTCTACGTATTGAGATCTTTCAGTGAGATATGACGTAAACCAATTAAGAGTTCGTTTTGCTACTCCTAGTCTTTGAAGTTTTTCAAGTAGAGTAGAATGCCTAACACTGTCGAATGCCATAGATAGGTCCATAAAAATACCAGTTGTACATTTTCCCTTGTCAACATTTGTTAACATAAACCTAATTTTTTCTATACTATTGCAACTCTAATGAAAGGTTTATGAATATCCTATACTAAAGTTTCCTACATTGTCACTCCACTAATATCAGAATCAGAATCATATAGCATTGCTATGTCACTACTCTAATATACCAATACTAGTACTGTATGTCAGTATAATGCCAATTTTTTAAAACGTCAGTGTTCCTGCCTAGAATGTTTTTAAGACAATCTTTTGTGTTATAATTAGGAAATTGTCCAAGGTCCTTCTTTTAGCGAATTTCCCATATAGGGAATAAGCTATTACCGTACTACTCATGGTATGACCTGGACCCGGGACCGATTTAATTGTTCGTTTTGAGGTCCCTAGAGGCTAAAAACACCATCCGTTCAAATTCATATTGTGTAGGTTAGTGCGATAACTCAAGCAAAAATGATCCGATTTTGATGAAATTTAGTACAAATGTGTAAACCTACGTTTATTCAAACGAGTTTGCAAACCAGCATAATCGGGCCATGGGAACGGGGGTTTATGAAGAGTTTTATGGGGTAAAAATGGGTTTTTCCAATTTTTCACCCTAAAAACACAAATTTTTGCAATTTCTTTTAAAACTGTTTTGTAGAGCTTAAAAAAAGGAATAATTTAGTATATTGAAGCGCTCTTGTATGCCTAACTGTCACAGAGAAAATTCAAAAATAATGTTAATTTAAATTTCCCATGTTATTCTTATGGTGAACGGTTGTAGTTTACTTGTTTATGGATATATATTGATAAAATTTGGCAAATTTATTTATTTCATCCTATACTATTTGACGTATGGTCAAAAAACACTTTTTACCTTCCCCGTAGCAGCAAACCTAAGCACTCATTAAATCTAATGTTATTTAAATTGGGAATAAATATGTCTTATTTATGGAAATATTTTAGTAAAAATGTATGAGACAAGTTGAAATTCGCTTAGTAGAACAACAATATCTACTGAACCACTTGATGATTATTTAGTCAGAACAAGTTTTTTTTCAAAATTTGCAGCACATTTTTGACTAGCTTATTTATTTTTAACATTATTGTTTTCACCATCGCAAGATATGCTGTCAATATATTGTTACATCGAACGGGAGACGATGATGATGTCCTTGTGTCAGAAGGGTGATATCAAGATATTGTCGCAAACACGAGAGACAATGGTGATGTATTCACAACTGCAGGGGAATTTCGAGATATTACTAATCATGGGACTTGATGATGATGTACTTCTTACCACAAGGGTATATCATGATAGTGCTTCGATCACGGGACTAGATGATGATATCTTTTGGACTCCCGGGGAATTCCAAGATATTACTGCAATCATGGGACTCGATGATGATATGTTTGGTACAGCATGGTAATATTAATATAGTGCTGCGATCACTGGACTCGATAACGATTTTTTGGGACTGTGGGGTAATATCAAGATATGACTGTTGATTATGGGAAGCGATGATGATGATGTTTTGCGTGGCTGTGATCATGGGAAGCTATGATGATGTTTTTGTGAAGTGAATCTCATTATATTGCCGTGCTCACGAGAAGAGTTGATAATGTCTATCTGTCGGCGGGGAATGTAAAGATGAAAAGATGTTTAATCGTCCCCTTAGTTTATTATTTGGAAAACAAATTTTCTTAATCAACATCTTGTATTGACAGTTACCTATATATGGTATTTGTTTGATAATTAGATTTAGATTTTGGTATTGGAAAATTGGAAGGGAGCAGGTTGCTTAGCTAGGCACTATGAAATGGGGAGAATTTGCACTCCTCACCTTGGGGGGATGGGCACCTCTTATCATTCTTATTTAAACAAATCTAAACATTAAAATGATCCTATAGCAAAAAATATACTCATAAGATCTATTTTAGGATTCAAAAGCGGCCCACACACTAGGGCGCTTGTGCGCGCACATGTGACTCGCGAACAGCTCGACGCGGATGCCCCTCAATGTGTGGGTAAATGTGCCCATGCTCGCGACGCGCATGCGAGGTGCCTGGTGCCTGCCGCCGGACCTTCGAGCATCTTCACAAGTGCGCGAGCTTGTTATGATGCGCGCCAGTCTGTGGGAAACCGAGGCACATGTTCGTGAACTAGCAGTACAAACCATAGCTGCATATACTGTAAATCGGTAACTACAAGGTCTGCGCCTGCGTGGCACAGTGTACACTAACTACTGCCCAACGTGTTGCATTTTATTTGTCGTTGTTGTTTGGTTATTATTGACTTCTTTGTTGTGCGGTTAAGATGTCCTGGCATAAGAAAGATTTGGTCTGACTTTATTGAGCTTTATAGATCACAAACGTGTTCTTGGGACGTGGAAAGTGCAAACTTTTCAAACAAATAAATGAGAAAAGAAATTATGGAGCTATTGATAACGAAATGCAAGGGGGTGTTTGCTGACAGTGACGATAAGTTTGTGAAGACTGAAATTAACTCTTTGAGATATTAATATCGATGTGAACCAAATATACTAATTAAATCTAAGTCTATAACCCTCATACTCTAAATACGACCCTTATACCCTTATATTAAATAATACAACCCTCATATTCTATAATAACTTATTTCCCGAAAACCCAAAACCATAATACATACAACTAATAACTACCCAATTAATTAGTAGTGTATAATCAAATCTGTTTTTTAAGCCAAATTTTATTCTTTAGTGACTTAGCTTGCAACTCTAAAAAAATGTCCATGTTAAAAAAATGAAAAATGAAAAAATAGTAAAAATTTACATGGTGACGATACAAAGGAGTTTATTCGAATGATTTCAATATAACTGTTGAATTTGCTGTAATAGCCCACTATTTGCATGGTCAAAGACGGTGGCGCGCGCGCATGTGTCTTTAGTGTGTGGTTGCCAATTGAATCGCACATGTGCCTAGAGCCGCTCACAGTCACCTCACCACGAGCCACGCAAGGCACATGCGCGCTAGTGTGTGGGCCGCTAAAGCCTTTACAGCTGGATTTATTTATGTTATTTATTTACTTACGAGTTTATTAAATGCATCTCACATAAACTTTATTTTCCTAGGAAAGACGAGACTGCTGTGCTATAATGGCTACAGGTTATGGCAAGTCCTTGTGCTACCAGTATCCTGCAGTGTTTTCAGGTGGCATTGCCCTTGTTATATCTCCGCTTATATCACTCATGCAAGATCAAGTGCTCAATCTTGAGGTAGGCCTACGCTATCATTGACTATTGGATACAGAAGGCTATATGAAAAAGGTTTTAGATATATATATATATTATATGTTTTAGCGTTCTGAATAATTTGTGAAGAGTTTTATGACATGACGCTTAGTTTTAGTTGGTTTCTCAACATTTTAATGTGTTGTATAAATAAGGTGAATGCTTCCATATACACTCTGCTCCACACTTACTGCTTTAATGTTGCTGATTCATTTTACATAAAATATAATTTTCTGCTCAATTGACATTAATTATAATATCATCACATTAGTAATAGGCAATAGACCAATCAATAAAAGAAATTTGCTTACAAAACAGATTTTAGAATGTATATAGTCTGCTTGCTGGGGAGTATGGGTGTTTAATATCACACGTTTTCAATGAGTGTTACTGTGTGCAGGTGGCTGGTATCCCAGCTGTGATGATGGGTGCTGCGCAGACAGCCAAGGTCTCAGCCATAGAGAATCTGCTTGCTGGGGAGTACAGGGTGGTTTATGTCACACCTGAATGGTGTCTTAATGATCACGGAGCCTCCATCCTCCAAAAGGTAGGTGTATTAAATTGAATCGAAGAACATTTTCTTCTCTTCCACAAGAAAAAAACTCTAAATTATTCAAAACTTGTTAAAAAAAGATTTATAAAAAAAAATATTTCAGGATGTAGGCCTATAAAGTTTGCAATAGGTGGACTTTCAGAATAGTGAATCTCTACTGTGTTTTAAATGCTAACTTACCTTTTATGCACGATAAAGATAAAAGACATAAATATCTGACAACAATGGTATTCACTATATAGCATTTGTGCACATCTAAAATGAAAACATAGGCCTACCCATCTAAAATAATTTTTTGTGGGGATAGCAGGCTTACCTAAATGGGAAAGAATCCAAACTGGTACAGGATACACAAAACTTTTCACTACACAAATCACAAAACATTTGAATATTTCACTGTCACTGACAGCATTTTCAACTAAGGAAGAGAGAGTTTTCTTTTCTCTCTCTTCTAATAAGGATCATTTGATAAGAATTATGATAAGGACTAATAAGGATTACTCTAATAAGAAAAAAAAACTCTCTTCGTTATTTGAAAATGCTGTCAATGATGGTGTAATATTCTAGTGTTTTGTGTATATAGTGTTAAGTTTTTTGTATCCCGTGCCAGTTTGGACTCTTTCCCATTCAGTTAAGCCTGCTATCCTCACAAAAATCCCTAAAACCTAGGCTCTTGTGCTCCATGTTACATCCTTATCCTTAACCTCATTTAAAACAATGCAGGTTAGGTTTAACTCAAACATATATTTTGCTAAGAAAAATCCAGACACCAAGTGAATTTTATATGTAAAATTGATGTTAGGCTACTGTTATGTTTGTATGTTACTCTTGGCTTTATCATTTGTTGTGTGTTAGTTGCTGAAGGCCCATAACTTGACTCTGGTTGCCATAGACGAGGCTCACTGTGTTAGTCAGTGGGGTTTTGACTTCCGTCCCAAGTACAGGTAGGTACATATTAATTGAAACTAAAAACATCGCACAGTTTAATAACAATAACAATGCAACAATGTGATGTTTCCAAATGGTATTTTTGATTAAGGGTTAAATTTTAGTATTTGTGTAAACCTTTTTGTAAGATTGGTGTACAAACAATACATTATTTTTATATTTATATTTTCCTTTTTATCCTGTGGTTGAGCAAAAATCGCACGGCCAATTTCTTAGGTTGACAGTACCATTTCAAAAACAAAACTGATCTACCAACACCAACTCCAGCAGAACAGTTTTCCCCCAAATCAGTGTGATTTGATATTCAACTGTTGGCCGATCCCTTGTGTCTCCCTGGCCTAAGATTACTTAAGGGCTTGAGTGGAGGGCGAGGCTTCACAAATACTGCTCTCTGATTGGCTGCTGCTAAAAGACTGTGTATACTATTTATGCCAGTAGGAAGTACAGTCCACATTCTGGAAAATCAGGGATAGTCATGGAAAAAAATTCTGGTCATTGAAAGTCCTGGAAATAGGCAAAAAGTCATGGAAATACCCTATGACGGATGGGTTTGAGGGGACTTTCAATGCTCTAGTCGGCTGTAACCCCGACTATTTGCATTTTTCAGAGTTTTTCACAAACGTATGACAATTCAATTTATACAGTTGTATTAGGCCTAGCTAATGAGTATTGAGTTTGTTAGTTCGTTGTTGTACTTATTGTACTCCATTGTTATCTGTTCATACATATTTCAGTATTTTCAGTAAAATATCTTGTCTAGGCAGTATTATTCGTGACTGTATGTTATATTATAATTTTTTAGTAAAGTCCGTGAGTCATGGAAATCAATGGTTAATGGTCATGGATAGTCATGGAAAGTCATAAGTTAATGACAAATTTTCTGTGGACACCCTGAAGTAGAGTCTACCCAGAGTAGTTTTGGTATCGGCAATCAACTTTGTTTTTCTTTTCGTTAAACTTTCCAAAATCTATGAGTTTCTTCATCCATATCATTATGGGATTTTAAAAATTAATTATGTTACTTCTACAGGAATATTACCTACGTTTTATAGTAATGTAACATTATTTTTCTCCAATAGTTTACATGTTTATTTATTTTGTAGAAATTTGGGTAAGCTGAAGGAAATTTTGCCTGATATTCCATTTTTGGCAGTAACGGCCACTGCCACACCTCAGGTCCGCATGGATATAGTCTCCTCTCTGCGGCTCAGGTTTGTACTATTGTTACTGTTAAAGGAAACTTAAATAAATTATAGAGGTATGTAAGCTGCATTAAATTGTACAATTAGTAAGATAAAGATACCCTACTTATAGTAAAACATTGTAGCCCAACCACAAAAGAAACAAGAATAACTATTCGAATTCATTTCCTATTACTGGAATGTTAGTTATTAATAAATAATATAATATTACCTTCTACTGTTCCAAATTAGTGTAGTCTACGACGCGTTTCGTCAACACAGTGACATCATCAGGTTATCCGCTATCGCTTCGCCTTGAATTTAAAAGAAAACAGTCATTACACGTATCACAAACACATATTTACGGACCGATCGGTATTGTCGTCGCCCAGAATTAATCATGTGCGTACGCAAGTTGTGGCCACCGCGACGAAAATACCGATCGGTCCATAAATGTAGTAAATATGTGTTTGTGATACGTGTAATGACTGTTTTATTTTAATATTAAAGACGAAGCGATAGCGGATAACCTGATGATGTCACTGTGTTGACGTAGACTACACCAATTTGGAACGGTAGAAGGTAACATTATATTATTTAACAATAGGTAACTAACTAATCTTGGTGGTTATGTGCAATGCTTGTCTTTCAGAAATCACAGGATGGTGGTGACAAGTTTTGATAGGCCCAATCTTTACTTCTCTGTCAAACTGAAAGCCAATGACAAAGACATTGTGAGCGACTTGGAGAGACTCATGGTGAGGGATGGACTCATCAAGAAGTTCCCTGGTCCGACCATCATTTACTGCCCTACAAAGAAAACCACTGAGAAAGTCGCTGAAGCGCTCAGTAGTGAGTACAATTTTCTTTAATACCAAATCAACCAAAATTATAAGATTTTACAATAAATTTAATCTGACATAATAAAAAATTTGTTTGCTACAAAAAAGTTTTTATAGAATTAAAAGTTTGCTATTAATCCTATCCTATACTCTAATACGAGCTATGTCTGTTTGTTTATCTGTCTGTATATAACAAAACCCAGCAGAAGGATTTTGACTAAATTTTGGGATTAGGAATTTATAGCTCTAAAACCGTGATTGGTGATAGCCACTACCTCAGGAAGATTTGTATTTCTCTACACAACTCATTTAAACATTTAACTGGCCTTATGGGTTGCCAAGTATAGGGATGGACGGGATTGAATTTTTAGTTCGGGACGGGACGGGACGGGATTTTTATTTCCTTTCCGATTTTCGGGACGGGACGGGACGGGATTTTTTTCTGTGCATAAAAAGAAAGTCTTGAGTATTGCAGTTACCAAAAAAGGCATACGAAATCAATCTTTACCGTTTGTGGCACTGATCTATAAATACCCCCGCCGCAGCAAACCTGCCGACTAAGCGAATTTCCATTTGTCTGAATTGATTTTCAGTTAAATATATTTTAATAACATTAGGTTTAACGAGTACCTAGGTTTGCTGCTACAAGGAAACTAATAAAGTGTGTTTTTGAGTAAAATATTGATAGCTTAGTACAAAATAAATAAATTTGCCAAGTTTGATCAAAATATACCCATAAACAAGCAAACTACAACATTTGACAATATTCTCCATAAGAATAACATGGGAATTTTAGATTACAATTTTTTTTAATTTTCTCCGTTACTAATAATCGAACAAAAATACTTTTATATACTAAATTATTTGTTTTTTTAAGCTCTTTGAAAAGGTCTAAAGAGAAATCGGGAAATTTTGTGTTTTGAGGGTCAAAAGTGAGAAAAACCAATTTTTACCCCATAAAACCCCCTGTAAAGCCCCGTTCCCATGGTCCGATCGTGCTGGTTCGCGAACTCATTCAAGTTTATCCCGCTTTACACCTCTAAACCAAATTTCATCAAAATCGGACAAAAATTACTCTAGTTATCGCGTTCACGGACGTATATATATATATATATATATATATATATATATATGTCTATATATATATATATGTCTATATATATATACATATATAAAAATTTGAACGAATGGTGTTTTTGGCCTCTGGGGACATCAAAATGAAAAAGTAAATCGGTCCCGGGCCTAGGTCTTACCGTGCCACCTACGGTAATAGCTACTTCCCTATAGGGAAATTCGCTAAAACCAAAAAATGGGTAAGAATTTTTCAGGTACCTATAGAAACTTGTGACTCGCGGTCGAAAGGACTCGCGGTCACGGTGCGATCGTCAAAATGACGGCAGTAACGGGGTGATCGTCGGTATGACTCGCGGTCACGGTATGACTCGCGGTCACGGCATGATCGTCGGTATGACTCACGGTCACGGTATGACTCGCGGTCACGGCATGATCGTCGGTATGACTCACGGTCACGGCGCTATCGTCGGTATGACTCCGCGGTCACGGGGTAATCGTCGGTATGACTCCGCGGTCACGGGGTAATCGTCGGTATGACTCCGCGGTCACGGGGTAATCGTCGGTATGACTCCGCGGTCATGGCGTGATCGTCGGTATGACTCTGTGGTCATGGCGTGATCGTCGGTATGACTCGGCGGTCACGGCGTGATCGTCGGTATGACTCCGTGGTCACGGCGTGATCGTCGGTATGACTCCGCGGTCACGGCGTGATCGTCGGTATGGCTCCGCGGTCACGGCGCGATCGTCGGTATGACTCCGCGGTCACGGCGCGATCGTCGGTATGACTCCGCAGTCACGGCGTGATCGTCGGTATGACTCCGCGGTCACGGCGTGATTGTCGGTATGACTCCGCGGTCACGGCGTGATCGTCGGTACGACTCCGCGGTCATGGCGTGATCGTCGGTATGACTCCGTGGTCACGGCATGATCGTCGGTATGACTCCGTGGTCACGGCGCAATCGTCGAAACGACTTCGTCTCCTGCGTTCGCGGACCTATCGCTCGCAATAGCGGCGTCATCGGCACTCGCGAAGCGGCAAAATTGCCGGCGATCGGACCAAATCCCGTCCCGATAAATTCCCGAATCAAATGTAATCCCGTCCCGATAATCGGGAATATTTTTTTCCCGAAAAATTCCCGAAATTTCGGGACCCGTCCATCCCTAGGAAGTAACTATGTTGGTTGGAAAAAGTAAACAAGATATTCGTTACATGTGTTTATAACAAGCCATCCACAGTCAACTAGCAAATTATAATATACAGTACAAAGAAAAAAACATCAGTTGTAACTATTTAGCAAAGATAATCATTGACTATTGGATACAGAAGAAGACATCCCATCTATATGGATCAGCTGTTGCCAATTTTTTACTAAAAGCTAATGTAGTTGTGTGAGCCAGTCACAGATTGCTCTAGTGTCTAAAACTCTATTTTGTACCTTATTTTTTGTTAATGAGATAGTTGCTGGGTCATAACAGTTGCTATAGCTCATAATAAGTCATTCCATCAGTTTGACTTGATAAAAACCATTGTGTAATTGGCAGAAATCAGTAATTTATATCAGCGCAATCTGTAGGTGGCTCACATCAACTAAGACAAGTTTGATCAAAAACCTGGCGGCAACTTTAACATGGGGATGAAACTGGGGAACTGAAAATTACTCGATTGGGAAAAAAGTTCCGATCAAATACTGATTATTTTAATTAGCCCTCTCTCACCTAAGATTTTAGATACTATTTAATACATTTATTTTCTTTATTTTTATTTTGTTTTCTTACACTTATATTCCAAGTAAACTAATTACATCTGGGACTGGGGGTTTGATTGGCATAAAACTATTACTGTATGCTAAACCCCAATGAAAAAACGGACAGAATCTCAATAATTTCTTTGGAAGTAGTAGCGAAAGCACGAAAAATCATTGTCACATTTGAAAATAATATTATTTCGGTTATATCATATTTGTTTTATCTGCTGTCATTGTGAGCGTAAAAGTCGAACAATGGATTCAATGAATAGTGGGGAAAAAGATTCTGTGCAAGTAGCACTTAAACTTAAGCAAGGTGATAAATGTATCTTATTTTTGTTTAATTGCATACTTTTACATTACAAGGTGTTTATTATTTCAGCGATCAAATGTCTAGATAGTTTGTAATAAAAACGTTTATCGGGAATTATAAAATGTCTGTTTACAATATTGTTTCAAGGATTAAACCCAATTAACCACAACCAAGCAAGGCTCGGTCCCCTGGTACTTTTAAAAATTATTTTCAAAGGAAGCTAACTTTACAGTCGGTATTTTAGGAATGTTGTATTGAAATGACAAAGAGTTTTGTTTTATTTTGTTCTAACCTTACCTACGCTTGCTATACAGTTATACAGTACATGTATGAACCTGTTTATAAATTTAGTTCAGAATACCAAACGAGGTAAAGATAAGGTCCTGATTTTATTTATTCACGAGTATTAGTAAAAAACTTAAAACCACGATCCTTCTTAGGGCCAAACAAGCATAATTCTGATTTAACTACTAAGTAGTGTTATTTAAGTTAAGTAATTTCAAATAATATGACGTACAGAAGAACTCCAATTATCCGGATAATTTGGGACATACCACATTCCGATGGTCAAAAGTTCAGATAATTGGATTTTTTATGAAATTTGTGGTATTTTATCAAAAATACTCAAATTGAAAGATTTACGCTTTCACCTCAATTTTGGAGTAGAGTGATAACTTATTTGTTGATGATTTTCCACGATAGCGTTAGTTAGACAATAATTATGTCTACAAGACCGCAGGAAACATGTCAGATTTTGTCACCATCTTAATAATAATATGATAATGATGTCCCCATAAACGAGAGAGACAATGATGATGTCTTTACAACCGCAGGAGATGTTTAGGATTTTGCAGCGATTTCTGATTTTTTTAATATCGATTCTTTGCTCCTTTGCCCCTATTATAACTGTTTGTTATGGTTTTTAAAATTCTATCCATTATAAGTAGTCCGGTAGCGAATTCGGATTATTTGGAGTTGTTTAGATAGCTGGAATTCTGCTATATTTAAGTTTTTCTATAGTACTAATATGGGTTTTGTAAGGATAAGAAAAGAAGTGTCATATATTGTAAAACGTATTCTGTAATTTCAAAAAACTAAATAAATCATTCTTGTAGTGTATATTTTGTGATCTTAACTAGACTGAATAGATTGTTTGGTCTATTCAATACTTGTTTAATAAGTTTTTCTTTATAGATGCTGGGATCAAATGTGCAGTTTACCATGCTGACTTGGGACAGAAACTTAGAAGGGAGGTTCACCAGCAGTTTGTCAAAGATATAGTTCCTGTTATTGTGGCTACAGTGGCTTTTGGAATGGGCATCGATAAACCAGGCGAGTACGCATTTCTTAATTACTGAGATAATCTTTACACAACTTAATTCTAATTACTTCAACATAGTTGATCTGAAATCATCATCGTCATCAATTGTGATTTAGAAGCTCAAGTTTACATTTATAACTGATGTGAAATATTTATTACGCGTTGCAGATGTTCGGACCATCATACACTACGGAGCCCCCAAGGAGCTGGAGGCCTACTACCAGGAGGTAGGCCGAGCTGGCAGAGACGGATTGCCTGCCACCTGCCACGTCTTCTACTCTCCCACTGACTACGCCACTAACAAGTAAGTTCTATTCCTAAACGACATGGTATATTAGGTGAGGTCAATACTTCAGTATGATAATATTTTTGTTGGGCATCACTCACCTTATTGAAGTCACGAGAACGTAGTCCTTGTCATGTCACAATCATACACAGTTCATTGCACATAAAAATATACAAAAATAAAAATAAAAATAAATCCAAATTTAAAATATCAGACAAAAGTTCTCAAACACCGACGTTTTGCCGCACCAAAATCAACGTGCGGCGTTTTCAAGGTTATTCCTCTTCTCACGGAATCGTTGTGAGCGCCTAACCACGACTGACGACCCCGGTGGTGGAGGAGGGGGAGGGGGGACTCTGTTATCAAGAACAGCTGATGGCATTATCTTCTTTTGTTTAGATTTTTCTATGCATCCTTTAATTTCTTTCTCTATTAGTGTATTGTAAACCGGGCTGATATCAATGGATGCGTTGGCTAATGAATCTTGATCTGAAGTAATAAACAAAGCCTCAATAATATTCCTTTTCTTCCAATTAGGCTCCTTGTATAATATACAGCTTTCCTCCCACTTTATACAATGCCCGGTGTCATGAACGTGTTCAGATATTTTTGAACCATAGGTTACACGTGTATACGTGTTATACGGGTTCATGAACACATGAAAAAAGTTGATACAAAAAATCACAAAAAATCTACATGGATTTGGGACGAACCTCTAAGTAACGAAGATTTTACACCAATCATTCATGATTTTACTGGACGTCCTGCCCTAAACCAAAATTTAGGCATAAGAGCTGGAGACAGCAGGTACAAGGTTTTCTCGTCTTTTTTTGACGATGAAGTAGTATCACTTATAACGAATGAGACTAACGCCTACGCAATCGAAAAAGGTGCTATCAATCAATCAATCAATCAATCAATCAAATATTCTTTATTCACAAAGTTTAGACAATATGTCTTGAATAGCGTCATTAAACTAACATAAACAAAAAATTATAAACTAAATAATTAAAATCATTCACAAAGGATTTATATAGTAAAACTAAAAATGAGTGCTATAACTTTAAAAAATCACAAAATCCTGATTACGGAGGTTACGTTAGAGTAAAACTAGGTAGTAACTGGAATTCAAATGGTCGTTTCGAGATTACAATTTAAAAATTCTTTGATGGAATAAAATGGGTTTCTTATCAACAAGTCTTTTAGTAGGCTTTTGAATCGGTTTGTATTATTTTCTTTTTTAAGTGAAATCGGTAATTTTTGAAGAAATTTTAAGCCTGCATATGAAGGTTTTTTGGTATAGAATTCTAAATTATGTCTAGGAAGGTTAATTTGAAAGCGTGTGTTATATTTACTTGCAGTGGATAATAAATGAAATTGTTTTGCATAAATTATTGTCTCATATATATACAAACTGTAAACTGTTAATACACCCAATTCAGGAAAGATATTTTTAACTGAATCTGTTCTTTTTAATTTCATGATCACTCTAATAGCTTTTTCTTGTTTTATAAGTATTTTATCCAAATTTGCCTTAGTTGTTGCTCCGTAAATGGCGATTCCATAGGATATGTGGGAATGAATTAGAGAATAATAGATTATCCTAAGAGTTTCCAAGTTGCAATCCTTGGACATCAGCCGCAAGGCATGAATGCCAGATGATAATTTATTTACTACATAGTTTATGTGATTATCCCAAGATAGATTTTCATCAATAACCAGTCCCAGAAACTTTGTTTGGTTTACCTGATCAATTTTGTCTGTTTTTATAAAAATATTAGGTTCAAATGCTGTTATTGATTGTTTAGTTGAAAAGGATATTAGATTTGATTTTGTTGTGCTGATAAGAAGATTTCTTTCATCCAAAAACTTTTTTATAGAGAGAAGACTCCTGTTTGAGGATTTTTCAATAGTTAAATTGGATTTTCCTGAAAACAAAACATTAGAGTCATCAGCAGGTATAGGTTTCCTCCCTCAAATGAAGTCAGAGTGTACATAGCACTATGTATTCTTATGGGACTTGTCGACAAGCCGACCATTCAAAGTTACTGGAGTCGATCACCAGTGATCCATACACCTATTTTCGGAAATGTAATGCCCCGTGATCGGTTCTTAGCCATAAGTAAATACTTGCATTTTTGTAACAACGACAATATCGACCGGACTGATCGTCTTCACAAAATAAGGCCCCTGTTTGATCTAGTGGAAAGTAAATTCCGCCGTAATTACATTCCTAACCAAGAAATTTCTATTGACGAGTCTCTTGTCAAGTGTCGCGGTAGACTGTTGTATATACAGTACAACCCAAAAAAACGAGCCCGGTTTGGGATCAAGTTCTATAAACTATGCGACTCAACAAATGCATATATTTGCAGTTTTGATATTTATGTTGGTAAGGACAAAATTGGAGACCTCCCGGCCAGCCAGAAAGTCGTACTACAAATGTGTGAACGATGTGACGTCCTACATAAAGGATACAACCTTTATATCGACAATTGGTATACATCACCGATACTAATCCACAAGCTCTTCAATCTTGGTACAAACACGTGTAGCACAGTTCAATGTGACCGTGCGAAAATGCCTATAGACTTGAGAAAATGTAAATTGGAAGTCGGCGAATCAAGTGCCAGATCATTCCAAAACATTTTGGTTATAAGGTGGCTTGACAGGAAGGACGTGTACATGATTACTACTATGCACAAATTGGACTACTGCGAAACTAATAAAAGGTGCTGGAAAACCGGAAATAGCAAAATAAAACCTCTAGCTATTCAGGCTTATAACAACAGTATGGGTGGGGTTGACCGCGGGGATCAAATATTGAGCCAAAATAACATATTGAGGAGGTATGCAAAATCATACAAGAAGATCGCTTTTTACATAATTGATATGTGTGTGCTGAATTCATTCATAGTGCACAAACTCCTCAACGGTAACCAGGCAAATCGATCATTTGCCACTTTCCGGCAAGCATTAGTCGAAGAAATTATAAATGAGTGTGCAGTTGCGTTGCCTGAAAGACATACGCCTCCAAACCCACCCCCTCAGCGCCTACAAGGAAGACACTTTCCTCAAAAGCTCCAACCATCTGAGAAAAAAGGTTCAAAGACTGCCAAACGATGCAAAGTGTGCTATATTCATGGTAACAGACGTGAAACCACTTATGAATGTGACACTTGTCATGTACCTTTGTGTATTGATCACTTCAAAGCTTATCATCCCTTCGAAACTACTAGTTTGAACAATGTTTCTTCGTGTTTTACCCTGAGATGTGGACATTTATAATTTCAAAGCATTCCACACATTTTGAAAATGATAGTTTGAACAGTTTGTATTCATTGTTTCATAATAATTGACCTACCCTAAAATGTAAAAATAAAACACATGATTTTAGTTTACTCTTTTATTTTCCTGAAATGAATGGAACTGAACTAAAATTTATTGGTATTTACAACAAAATTTCAATCAAACCATGCAATAAGTGTTATTTAGTAAGTGAGGGCTATAGTATGGTAACGTGAGGCATGGGTGACGCGACGCTGCAACCATGACAGCGCCGTGCCGTGCCGCACTCTGTGCCATACTGACGCCATCTCGCTTACAGCATTAGTCTCTATGTACTTCCAATTACCTTTTATACTGTGTGTATATTTTTTAACAATTCTGTGGGTATTTTTATTGAAAATTATGCAATGATTTATGTATCTAAACTTTGACAAACAAAAAGTTGATCTTCACAAAAATTGTGTATATATATATATATATATATATATATATATACATTTTGTTATTGTATACATCAATGAGGGCTACTTTAAATGTTACTAAGCAAATCAAAATACCACAGTACCCTAAAAAAAAAAAAAAAAAAATATGTATATATATACATATATGTAAATATATAAAAAATATTTAAATTTGTTCAGCAAAATATTACATTCCTTGAATGATTTGATAATTACGAAATACAGGCAGGTATGCACTTATTTTTTGAGAAGTATAAAAAATAGTATAATATTATCCTAAATACATATAAATATACATAAAAAATACAAAAATATGTACAAATATACATTTTATTATTATTTTCAGCTATAACATACTATAAAACATCATAAAAAAATAGTTTAATATTTTTTAATTTTTTTACTGTTTCAGTGATACTGGTATTTTTGGTAAATAAATACCAATGGGTTAACTTATGTAATTCTCGTACCTTAATAACTCGTAACTATGTAATAAACCTTTCTGGTTTTTGTTATAAAAAGGTACTTCTTATCATCTTTATATGGAGCATTTCGAGAACACCGTGAAAAGATGTTTCGTCTACTGCAACAGTATTTGGAGACAGACCAATGCCGTCGTCGCACACTGATAGAGTTCTTTGACAAGAAACAAGCCAATAACCTGCCTCAAAACAAGCGTTGTTGTGACAACTGCTCTTCGTAAGTATTGTTGTAAGGTTGCCAGTAAGCCTTTTTTAATACATTATTTTCCTCGGTAAACTCATGTTTCCTAACAGAAACTGTTGAATTTTGTAAGTGTCCGGACTATAACATACTAACTTTTAATCAAAACCAAGTCAAGGAATGTTTATTTTCATAATATATACCTCATAAAAACTCCCAGACCTAATGCATGTTTTTAATTGAATTTCTTACCATGTTTCTTTATGTCTTGAAAATGTCAACATGACAGAAAATTCAATTGACTGATTATTCTCAAATGATTATGACTATTCTCTAATTATAATAGTCTATATTTAATTCTTACCTATTTTTTTACAGGAATAAGATTTTAAAACCAAACAAACCAGAGCTGGACTTGAGAGAAGATGCAGTCAAACTACTGGGGGTAATCCGAGTGTTAGACGGTAGATTCGGGTTTGGTATCCCAATCAAGTTTTTGATGGGCAAAAAGCAAGACCGAATACCAAACAGTTACACACGTCATCCACTTTACGGCAGTGGGAAGGACGACAAAGAAGAATGGTGGAAAGCAATAGGTGGGAGTCTTTAAAGTTAGAGTGCTTGAATGGTTACTGGTTCTATAGACATAATTCACCAGATATTTACATTCACTTTGGTTAGAAGAAAAAAATAGTAGTATTTTTTATGTATGTTATATATTTATATATATTTTTATTATTACAGAAAAATATTTGTTGGTTTATTTTTTTACATTTGCTCAATACTCATGTAGTATCATCTTAATCCAGTAAGTAGCCAGTGGCGAAGCATTTTGTGATCTATGGATTTGCCAATGTAAAGAAAAATGTAAACTGTTGGAGAATCAGAATATAATTAAATAGGGGTGTGCGAAATGGTAAACAAATTTCTATTCGAAGCAACGATTTGATTCAAAAGATTTTCACTTCGAATTGATGCAACTCATTCCAAAGCAATACGGCATTTTTCTACTCATACTTGTCAATGGAGTCAAATAAAAAAATATAAAACAATTTTAACCATTTACAAGCAAAGTATTAATTTAATAAGAACGCCTTCGCAAAGGAAACGCAATAACAACACGCTCCTGTATTGCGGGTATTACATTGACTTTCTACAGGCATTTTTCGTATATCGATCCTGACTCCCTCATGAATCGAATCGTTTTTTTATCACCACTGAATCGAATCACAATTTGATGCATTGAATCAGATTGAATCAGAATTTTAATGCATTTTCAATGCATTGCTCGACATTGATTCTGTTGTAAATTTGAATCCTTTTGGCTGTATTTATAACATTCATTTTTATAAAATACGTCAGTAAATTTTGCATTAAGTCAGGCATTTTTACTATTTATATATTTTGAGGGATACCAGTCACCCTATTGTTTGGGGTGAGTCGGCCACCAGCATGACAGGGGTTACAAAGCTGCTGTTGCCTTCCTCTCCATAAAGCTTACCTGTAAATCCCTGCACTAGGGATAAGCTCGCATTTTTATTACAGTCTTATCGAATACAGTCATACCTTGTTTATGGGTAATCGTAAACCATGAAATCTTGAGCTTCTTATATTCTAGCCATATACAGGGTGGTAAAAAAGTCCCTGGACAGTTAAATATTTAAAAAAATAATGCAGATAGAGCTACAATACTTGGTACAAAGTTACAGGGCATTAAACTCTATTTTAAGAAATATTCAGTGATCCAATAACTCGTTAGGGGGATGGCCCACAAGGAGTCGGAAGAAATTCTTAAATGAAAGCATAGGTCAATATGCACATCAAATTAAAGGTCTGTTTTAGTAGAATACAAAGCCGCAAACCGCACTTCAAAAGGTTGATCCTGCGCAAAATGACAGTTGTTCAAAGATTCATTTAATTTACATTGTTATTATACGCTTACTCAGGGGGCACAGCCCTAGGAATCGGAAGAAAATTGTTAACGTAAGCATAGGTCGATATGCACATCAAATTAAAGGTCTTTACTAGTAGATTACGATGCCGTAAATTCAAGCTCAAAAGAATGCCTGAGTAAAAAATGGCAGTCGTTCAAAGATTCAAAATGGCGGATTCAAAAAATCTGCCATTTTGCGCTGTATCAACCTTTTGAAGTGTGGTTTGCGGCATTGTATTCTACTAAAAAATACCTTTAATTTGATGTGCATATTGACCTATGCTTTCATTTAAGATTTTCTTCCGACTCCTTGTGGGCCGTCCCCCTGAAGAGTTATTGGATCACTGAATATGTGTTAAAATAGAGTTTTATGCCCTGTAACTTTGTACCAAGTATTGTAGCTCTATCTGTGTTATTTTTTAAAATATTTAACTGTCTGGGGACTTTTTTACCACCCTGTATATATGAAAGGTTACCGAAAAATGGGGCAAGCCTTTCAGTCTGGTTGTTAATTGGATTAAAGTGAGATTGACTTGCTCAATTTTAAGGGCAACGAGCATGTGCTTGAGAAGATCTAGAAACAAATGGAGATCTGCTCAAGAATTTGGAGATGAAGCAGGTATTCAACATATTAGGGATGGTCAAGTCTCGAAATTTCGGGAAATTTTCGGGAAATTTTAAATCTCGTTACACGAGACGAGATTTCTTTTTGGCCGAGATTTTTATCGAAACGAGAATTAAAAAAAAAAAAAAAAAAAAAAAAATTAAAAACGCCTGCAGAAAGTCAATGCAATACCCGCAATACAGGAGCGTGTTGTAGTTGCGTTTCCTTTGCGAAGGCATTCTTATTTAATTAATTCTATAAATGTAAATATTACTTTAATTATTTTAATAATATTACTTTAATTAAATTTGAGAAGTTTAAGTGTAAGCAGTGTGAGGAATGTTTTATTACTATAAAAAGTCAAAACAAGTAACTATTTTATAAAAATTAATATTGCTTTTATTTTATGATTTATTTTATTTTAGGATAAGTTGAACTCTATCCTAACTGATATCACTATGTTTCCTAATCGTAGGCATTTTTAATAAGTTAGGCGTGATTAATAAAAAAATGTTATGCTGATGTTTTTTAATAAAAGATTGTAAATATTCTTGCCTATTATCATTATTTTTGTATTTAAACAGTCATCTAACAATGTTACAAAATCAGGTAAAAATTTTGAACGTGCATTTCCCGTTGTGTATGAGAAGGGAAATCCCGTCTCGATCTCGTCTCGAAATTTTATGAGAAATAAAAAATCTCGTCTCGTCTCGTCTCGAACTAAAAATTCAATCTCGTCCATCCCTAACATATATATTAAAAGAATTCAATTTTTTTGTAAAATTTGTATATCTAGATTTGTTTATCTTGTAATTTATTATTAATTGGAATAAAATATTGTTATTTAAAAAAAATAAATAAAAAGTTAAATCATGTGTTTCAGGTAGACTGCTTGTCAAAGAGGGCTTGCTACAAGAATCTGCTGTTTTTTCTAACACTGGTAATAAAGGTAAATGGAGATTCCCTATTTCCACCATTGGAATCACTGACTTGGGTGAAAAATATTTGCGAGTGTGAGTATTGAAATGGACATTGAAGCAAATTAGTTGACTAAAAGTAACATAGTGGTGTATCCATACAACGTTTGAAGACTTATAGTAGTTTAATGTACGAGGGTCATTTTATAAAATAAAACTGTTTTGTAATTGAGTAGAAGAAACTTTATTTAATGACAAAAATTTTATCAAAAACTAAAATATGAACATTTTTCACTTTACAATTTTGTTTGCCAACAGTGTTTTAAGGATTTGTTGAGATGTGACACCAGATTTTGGATCCCCTAATCAAATAACTCTGCCACCTGTTACCAGAGGATCATAAGATTAGTTTGTAACTAATTTTTAATATTTTCATAACTGTCCTCACTCAATTATATTCTGAATAATGTCACTTAATTTACCTTGTTTCATGCTCTTTAAACATTTTCTTTACAATATTATTATTGTTATTGAATTTTAATTACATCCAAACTCTTGGTCACCAACATTGTTATTGTGCTGTTTAGAGATGGCAAAGATGAATTAATCAAGCTGCATCCAACACCTGAGATCGTGAACATGGGTGGACGGAAGCTAAGATTGGCGTAAGTACAGTACTCTCACTTTGTCATATTAAGTACAAGTATTAGGGAGCAGAAAGATGTTAGGCACTGCTACATGGGTTAAATTTTACACTCAACTCCCGTAATTGGATGAAAAGTTCCAGGAAAAATTTAAGCGAAATCAAATGCAGAGGGACGGCCTTAATTAGCAACACAAGTCGATGTTTTTAACCCTTCCCGGACGGGCGAAATCGTGACATAGAACGGGAAAAAATTACAGGAAAAAATAAAAATTAATATTCTTTATTTGTGTTTTGTTTTACAAGTATACATAAAATAAACACAATGGAACACTTCACACAAGAACACTGAAGAGAAGGTTGTCATATCCGCTTCCCGACCGGACCATCGAAAACCTTAAGCAGATATATCCGCCACCCGTCCTTTATCACCAAAGACTTAGGCGGATATAACCGTCACCCGTCCGGGAAGGGTTAAAACTGCAGGGTCTTTTTCTTGGAAGGAAGGGCAGTAGGATGTAAACAAACCATAAATCACTGTCTTCAACCAGGCCCTGGTGCTCAAGGGAAAACGTGTCTTTTTTTTAGTAAAATGTTAATAGTATAAGATGAAATAAATAAAATTGCCAAATTTGATCAAAATATATCCATAAACAAGCAAACTATAACAGTTTTCTATTTCTCCATAAGAATAACATGACAATTTTAAAGTGTACATTTTTATAGAATTTTTTCTGTAGCCTTTGATTGTACAACAATGCTTCTAATGTACAAAATTGTTTATCTTTTTGTTTTTAATCTCTACACGATGGCTGTGCTGTAATGACAATTGTGTATTTGCATGTTTTAAGGTTACAAATTTGAAAAAAATCTATTTTTAAAAACTGAACTTTAACGAATAATGTTTTTGGCCTCTAGGAACATCAAAATGAAAAAGTAAATTGGTCTTGGTCTAGGTCTTTCCGTGCCACCTATGATGATAGCTTCTTCCCCATAAGGAAATTTGCTAAAACTTCTAAAAAATCTAAGGTTATAGTCCCGGCCGGCGATAGACTATGACCCTCTAACCAACATTGTGTGTGATCAGTGAGATTAAGTTGAATGATTGCAGGGCTGCCAAAGCTGCCAAGGAGCGTCTGTCGGTGGTTCGGCAGAGATCTCCTGTAAGGTCCTCCCCAGCTGTTGGTGGAGACCTAACATCAGTGTCTGAGCTTACACAGACCAATAGTAGCCCAGACCTCACAGTGTCACAAGATGAAATCAATCTACAGGTTTGTGTCTTAAGGTCAACCTTGTGTTACCAAGTATCTGTAATAATATATTTAACACGAGAGGACCTGCGAGCAAACTATGCGGTTGGATAGGGCCCAAAACTTGTTTGCATGCTAAAATAAATCCAGATCAATGCCTATTTACCTTTTCAAGATTATGTTTGTTTACAAAAATAGTTATTAGGTGAGTAGAATTAGTAATTTACAAAAAAATGTTGATTTTAGATCTACACTACACAGACTGATTTAAACGCCGCAATCAGGTCACAGTTGTCAAAAATATTCTCTTTAAAATACATGTTCATAAACTGTCTAGTCCTTTGTTTACAATCTGACTGTAGTTAAACATTAAACAGAAGGAACACCTGTTACATTACAGTTCAAATTTTAATCATTATAAGAAATATTGTCAGGCCAGCATTGATGGATCTTTTAAAATGGACTCTGGAAATAAATTAAACGTGAGGGGAGCAAAGCCCTAAAGAAAATTACCTTTTTAATTACAATTGGCAGGTGCGCTAGATCATAAAATGAGCTTTAAAGTTTAAAATGACACCTGAGACGTAAAAATCGGTTAAGTAGGACGTCTGGAAAAAATATGTTAAAAAGAGAATATAGATTTTTAAGTTGTGCAAACTAGTATTTATTTCTAAAGTAGAAATTAGCCTATACGTTAATAATAAAAATATTTTTTCTAGAATAAAATATATAATGAGCTGTTGAGGCTGCGAACTAGTCTGGCATCAGAGATGGATGTCATGCCTTACATGGTCGCCAACAACAAAACTCTACTGGAGTTGGCAACACAGCGACCCGAGGATAAGGAACAGTTGGAGAAAAGTAAGATTTGAGTTTAGTAGCTTGGTACAGAATTAAAAAAAAAAATGGATGAACACAAAACTTATCTTATGATTACCTTTTGTTATATGTCATCCGCGGACTTAAAACAAACTACAACCAGATTAGCACCAGGCACAGCCTAAGTAGCTTAACATTATATTCTACCTCATTTTACAAGTAAAAATTGTGATATTTCGGGTATTTGTTATTCAATCTCTTTGAACTTTGTGTTGGTTTATAAAAACTGTAAATGCTCAATAAAAGTATTCTTGATTTTTTCCCATTAAATTTGCCATATTTTATTTTAGTTAAAAATGGTAGCCATTTTAAAATTTTCAATTGGACCATGTTAATTATTTTTTCTAACTTGGGTCTCTCTTACCTTAACATACATAACATACATAAAAGATCGTTTGGACCTCAGAAACCCTTAGTTTTTACAAGACAGCGTTGCATTGACCAAGTAAGGGTGTATTTGGCCTTTTTTACATCCCACATAATTATGGAAATTAAAGGGGTTGTATTTTATCAGGATAATTCTAAAACCGATACCATCTTTTTTTTTACTTTGAAATTTTTTAATACCCATTCTTAATATTTCAATTTTATGTTACAGTTGAAGGCTTCACAAAAATCAAGATAGAAAAGTTTGGTGATGCTTTTATTGACAAAATGAAAGAACTTCTATCACTGCATAAAGAAAACAAACTGTAAGTGATAGTTAATTTTGTTGTCTTATTATGGTTGTGGAACCAGGCCAGTGAACCCATTAGGTATATCTAAGTAAAATGTGTATACAGATGAAATATAAACATAAATGTGTAAATTCCATATACAAAAGAAAGATATTGATAAAGAGAATAAATAAGCAAATCTTTGTAGAAATTGAAACAATAAATTACAAACATTTACTAACTTATAACACACATTATACTTACATAACATGTGAACATAACTTTTATTCAATGAGTAGAAAATTAATTCAGTAGCACACAAATTATATTTACCTCAAGTTGATTAATTATTGATTGAAATTCTACAGTGTAATCAAAGACATAACATCATGCATGAAAAATTCTGAAAAAAATTCTGCAATATTCAAATGAACTAAGCGGCTACAAGCTGTGATACACAATGAAAACTGTTAAGTTATGTTTATTTTTTTAATTTTATAAATAATTTGTGGCATTGAGTGGTTAAGCATTCCCTTAATTTGTTTTGTTGTTTGTTTGGAATGGATTGGAGCTTTCCACACTAACACTTTATTTCTTTGAGCATAATCTTTGCCATACAAAAAACACCCATTGTAAGGTTACATTATTAGTCCTTGAGACTTATTTTTTTAATGTGCATTTGTTACATATTAGTTTTTGTTGAAATTTTTGCTTTTGCAGCATTCCGCCAGAAGTAAAAGATGAGACTGAAGTAACACACAACGGGGAAAATGAGGAAGTTGATTTACATGAAAATAAGCAAAAAGACAAAGAAGATGAAAGTGCAAAACAAGATGATCTTTGGGGAGATGAGTACGACGACGACTGCTTAGCAAACATTGATCTCGGTGAAGCAGGCCCAGCTCATGTCAACCTAGAAGGTCAGGCCGTCTCTGTTTATAACTCCAACTCCAATCAAGACCTTTGGGGGGAGGATGAGTGGGACGTGGGTGAACTGGAACAAAGCCTCAGTAAAATTGAATCTGAAAGAAAAAGTTCGCCTTGGTCATCCCAGAAAGCCAAGTCAAACAAAAAGAAAACAATAGTGTATGAGAGTGATAGTGACGATAGTTCTAGTAGTGCAACAACCGGACTCAAGCGGAAAGTCAGTCCTCAGACAGCACAGGCTGAGAAAAGTAAAGTGCGGAAAAAAAGATTAAAACAATTACTAACCTGAAATGTTCTTGTTAAGGGACACTGATGTTACTTTTGTTGTTAAGGTCTGTAAATACTAGTGATGGTCGAGCTAGAACCGGCGCCTGATTGGATCCAAAAAAATCTGGATCTTGTGCTGGATCCGGTTTTGATGGATCCAATTGTTTTTACTAACACAAGCCTTCTGTATCCATGTACAAGACTATCTGTGTCCGTCTACAAGAAGACTTTCTGTGTCTGTGTACAAGAAAACTATCTGTGTCTATGTACAAGAAGACTCCTCTAAATCTAAAATAAGGCAACTTTAAATCAGCAGCAAGTTTTATTACATCCAAACTACTTAATGGTTTTTCTGGAAGTCTTTCAATTATTTCCTATGAATACATTTTTTTACTTTTACTACCAGATCCAAGGTCTCAAATAGAGCCGATTACCACTTTTATTTTTCATCTTGCAGGCACATTTAGGATTTTTTTCTTTTTCCCAACAGGGTTTTTCTTTGTTATTTGTTTTTAATTTTTGAAGTCTGTCCTTTTCCCCCACCAAATTTTGCTTTAGTTTTCATTATGATAGTAACTGCCCAGGCGGCAGCTCTCACCAATACTAGAGTCTGAAGCTTTTACCCTTTCCCAAGCTAATAAGCTGTCAGCCACTGATCTAATTTTACTATCCTTCGATCTTGAGTATTCTATATCGTGGTTTTTGCATGCAGCATCCAATTTATTTATGCCTGGATTACCCCTTGCTTATCTCTTACTTAAATTCGTTCCAGGTCCACAGTACTGATAGCTGGGTATGTGAAGTTCTACAGGTAAAATACCCTGTGTCTATGTAAGAAGATTAGTTGTGTCCATACAGGGTGAATAAAAAGTAAAGACTCCCCCATCTAATATTTTTCTAAGTTAGAACATATTTAGGACACAGATAGTCTTCTTGTAGACAGACATAGGGTATTTTACCTGTAGAACTTCACACACCCGGCTATCAGTACTGTGGACATGGAACAAATTTAAGGAAGACATTAGCAAGAGGTGGTCCAGGCATAAATAAATTGGATCCTGCATGCAAAAACCACGATATAGCATACTCAAGATCGAACTATAGTAAAATATACACAGATACCCTTTTGGTGGTCGTGCAAACTTATCACAAAGTTTCATTTTATGATTTTGAAAATATTTAGTGTCCATTTGTGCAACTAGTGAGAAAAGTGAGCAATTGACTCACTCGAGAGAAATCCTTACTCACGAGCCGTAGGCGAGTGAGGAATGGTTTCTCGAGTGAGGCAATTGTACTTTGAACTCGAGTTGCACATTATACTTTTCCTACAGTTACCATAAAACAAATAAATTGGTGAAGAAACATAACCTATTTTTACACAGAAGTGAACTTTTAATATAACATTTAATGTGAAGTGACAAATACAACAGTACAATAGCTGACCAGCTGATTTACAGCCAGTGCTGCCAACGTATTTCGCGAGCATACGACGTTGCCTGCATGTTACGCGCTCACTATTTCGTGCCTTCACGTTGCAAATCTGGAGTGAGACAAAGTAATAAGAGTGAGACAATGTTAACATTGTCTCACTGATGAGCGAATTGGCCACTTAGCTTTTCACCTCACTGGGATTTTATCAGTTGGAAGACCATGCGATAAGCAATAATAGCATTTTGCAGGTTGAGGCCGAAAATCACTATGTCTTTCAGGGGATCGATCACCAGCGCTATAGGTTCACATAATAGTTCACATAATTTAGGCGGTTTACGGGGAAGTTCCCCCACTACTTTTTTGCTTAATATATATGTTGCAGCTGATAAACAATTTGACAATTCAGCTGTTGAGCTTTGTTGTAAAGGTAGGATCAAAAAGAGGGGATAGATTTCTTCCCATAAAACCACCTAATTTTATGAATATAGTATAGTTAAGTCATTCATTGTTAAAGCATAACCAGCATTAATAAGTTTCAATCACTGTTTAGTAATAACTCAACACATAACCTCAAAATTCAATACAAACAAAATATCTTCTTATTTGGTAACTCTTAACTTGGCTCGCTACTAGTTTTTTTCTTGTAAAGTTGTACTTCATTCAAGTTTATTTTACAGTGTGGCAAATGATAGCATTTGAACCCCTAGCTAACAGGGTGTGTAAGCTCAAAAACATCTCTCATACCAATTCTATTTTACAAGTGTACCGTACATTGTTCAAAAAAGGTATGAAAATAATAACACACTAGTAGCAAATATTTCATATATTTATTCCAATATTCCAGCAGTACATACAATATAACAACTAATACAATAATCATCAACAAAATATCGGAACTAATATATTACAAGTGTTCGCAACTTCTGTAAGATAAACATTCGTTTCATACTGACTGCACCTGACATCACATAACATGGTGAATGTTTTGTGTATAAGAATTACAGTAATCATAAAATTTCACTTCTGTTAACTCAGAATTGAGCGGATTTCCTTGTGCATGTGGCATAGAAAGTCCACATATGAGGCTGTTCCATCCATGCCTCTATCCTCGACCAGGAAATGTTTCATTACCATTTCCATCTTGTCCCTCTGTCTCACCAAAGTGAGCTGAAACATTTGAATAAAATTAAGAATAATATTCTTAAAACATGTACATTAAATAAAACACATACAATACATTAGGTTTATAAATGTAAACTAAAAACGTGAACTGAAATCTATAAATATGCAATTTTAGATCAATTATTTCAAATTAACCTGTTATACCCAATCTTTAGCAAATCAACTGCAAAACAAATGTTCAGGGGCAATATAAGTATAATTTATTAATTTATAACCTATCCTTAACAACTGGTTGTGCACTGTGCAGTTAACATCTTACAAGGTTATTTCTTATTGTTCCCATTTAGTATTTTACACATAATGGTCTAGGTTATTGACTTTGAATTAGACATGAAGGTCAGTATATCGAGGGTGTACTGTAGCATTGACTCACCCTCATAAAGCGATGCCTCTCGCAGCGTACGATGGCTATGAGCTCCTGTATCCTCTGTGACAGTGGGTTATCCAGCTCAGGCAGTTTGGTGTCATCAGTGTTGACTTGCGCTACAGTCGGGACTCCAAACACAGCTTGTACCCAGTCTGGGGCCAGCGTTAGGCCCAGCCACAGGAACATGTGGATACCATTGTCTACAGCCACAGAAACAGAGCAATCATACAGTACATGATTGCTATTTCAGTAATTTCATAACAAGAGTAGAAAGTGAGACATTACATATTTGGGACCATATGTTTAAAGGGTGAGATTTATCGAGCACCATGTTCACTCGTGTTTTGAACATTACTTTTCGCTACACTACGAAAAATAATTATTTCCCTAATTAAAACAGACATTTGATATTTCTTCATTAAAGTTAGTAACGTTGCAAAACTCATAGCATTTTTTAGGTTAAGCGTTCAATTTATAGTTAACATTTACATCACACATTGTCATTCCAGTAAATGATGCTGGAGTTTCTGTCACCGTGTCAGGGTCGCACTGGAGTCTTTTGTATTATAATAAAGCAGCTAATACTTTTTATTACATCGATTCTATAAATCAACAGAATGTAGATCCAGCCAGGTTGATATTTACTAAACTATCACAAAGTTTGAGCCTAAACAATCCTATGTTTAAAGTGTTAGACTCTCCCCAGCAAAAGAACTCTTATGACTGTGGAATTTATATGCTCCTGATGGTAGATTGGATTATTACTTCTGTTCTTCTGGATAACAACTTTAAAGAAGACACAATGCCCAACATAGTCACTAAGGATGTAATACACAAAAGATCAGTACTGTCATACTTATGGCTAAGCTCTGATACAAATGATCCAGATTCAGCGCTCATAAAGGAACTAATGTTCAAGAACTACAATGAAGATAGTAGATGTAATGGACACCTATATGGCAAAAAAGAGGAAAGAATTAAAGAGAAAATAAATCTGAACTCCTGGCAAGCTGTTTCCAGAAAACAAAGATGTTGCAAGCCAAAACGAAAAACAAGAGATAGTTCTATCACTTTATCCAATAGATATGGAATTCTCGAAGGCAAATCAGAAACAGATATAGCTAAAACAAACCACCCGGATAAAGGCTTGAATAAACTAACAGGAAAAAATTCAAATAATACAAAGGAGACTGTTCTTAAGCAACAAATTCCACATCGACAAAAGAAGATCCATCAAAAATGTTCCAAAAAAAATATATTTAAAGTTACAGCGTCTGAGAAACCTACCATTGAGCAAAAGAAAACTATTCCAGTGGATCCAGCAAACTTAAAAGATAAAAATAAAAGTAAACTTACAAACAAACAGTCAACCAAAAAGCCCACGCTGTATGTAACAGGTGACAGCCACGCTAGAGACTTTGTATAGCTCCACTGTTTCCACAACATAACGTCACATCAACTTATTATCCTGGAGCATCTTTTGATTATGTATTAACCCAATTAGAGAGACTCATAAACAAGTTTGATAAAAATGACCGAATAATACTTATAGGCGGAACTAATAAAACAGACTCTCAACATCAACATAATCTAATATATAAAATTCTCGTGTCACAGTGTTTGTCTGCAAACTCCTCCGGAACGACTTCACCGATCGTTATGAAATTTGGTGTGTAAATTCTGTAGGTATGCGAATCGGACGTAAACTATTTCCCGTTTCGAAATTCTTAAAAGGGCTCCGCCCCAGTGGCTCTGGAGTTTCCCATGTTAACCTTATGAGAAATGGAATTAATGAATCTTAACAGCTGTTTCAATTAAACAAGTTGGTTCTGTTCTATGATGTTCAATAGCATTAAAGTTACAAGGATTACCAACAGGGTGCAGCACTATTATTTCTTTTACATTTATGACAACAGCTAATTTGCAACCAAAAGGTGAGTGAGCGTAGCGAACGAACTTCAACCTGGAGGCGAGTGAGCGTAGCGAACGAGCTAACCTGAAGGCAAGTGAGCGCAGCGAACGAGCTCCAACCTAAAGGTGAGTGAGCGTAGCGAACAAGCTCCAACCCAAAGGTGAGTGACCGTAGCGTACGAACTTCAACCAGGACGTGATTGAGCGATGCGAACGAGATCATCTTGAAAATTAAACGTAACGGTACTTTCTTTCCATCGGTCTGTCTTAGGGGAAACCTATAACTTAGGCGATACGAAGTTCGCCGGGTCAGCTAGTATTCTTATAAAACTATATAAGATGATAAAAGCATTCAAGGCTGAGATTGTATTGACTGAACTGCCATATTTATATCATCAACCGTACGATGGCAGAAAGTTCTTTGAAATAGAAAAATGCAACTCAGAACTATTAGCGCTATCAATACACAGTAATGCTAAATTTCTCATTTTCAACCACCTACTAAATGAGAAGTATCATTATACAAAAAATGGACTACATCTAAACCTGAAAGGGAAAACTACAGTCTGCAACTCCATATTCTCTTGGCTAAGTAAAGGTACAAGAACAGAAAATGAAAGTCAAGCTACAATTCAAAACTTAGTTAAAACTATATATACTTCACCTACGCAAGATGCCTCAAAGACCAAATGCAATCCACACAACATCCACGTTATTGAAGCAGACATGGCAGCTATGATAAACAAATACTGCAAGGATACATCAACGGCTTTTGCACACTGCATATCAGCTGACACTGATGATGTAAAAAATATGTCAAAGGGTGTTGCACTGGTATTTAAGAGCCACTTTGGAAAGCCATCACCATCAGACAGAATACACTCGTGCTTGGCTTACCAAAGAAGACAAGGGGAATCTGGGGTATATAGTCTAATCACAAAGAGCCAGTTTTTCAGAAAACCATCACAAGCTACCTATGATCGAGCATTTCATGCACTGACCCAGGATTTCAAGAAGAGGGGTCTCAAGCACCTCATATGTTCCCCTATGGGTTGCATAAGAGACCAAATAAAATTGGAGCATTTTGCTGAAAATATAATTAAATTCCAAGAATCAACTGGTGCCTGCATTGACATAGTACTACTACAAGAGGAGAATCCAACGAGAAATCTCTGGAGAGGCCAGCCCTACAGTCAATTTTTACAAAAATTAAAACTTTTAACTACAAAGCACACGTCAGGAAACTCTATGATGCTACTTCCAACCAACATCAGATGGATGACGACTCATTAGACAAACCACAGCACGAGACTTCCCAGCCGACCCTCCACAACATCATGTGTGTGTCAAGTGAAGTGCAGGCTGTTATGCCCAGTCCAAGTGCAAGTCCCTCCCCACACCTTTCTCCTGGCCCACATTCCTATGTGGAAGCAGTGATACAGGGCAGTGCTAATGTCAGTGTAGTCAGTAATGTTAGTCAAGTTTACAATGGAGGTTCTGGTGATGGTGTTGCTTCATCAAATATTCCTTTTTTAGAAATTTGCCCAGAAAAAAAAAACAGAAACTGCAGATATAGCAAACAATTTGATTAACCAGCAAACACTATTAACAAAAGTAACATTGCCTCAAAAATACAACTGTTATAAGAAATTAGATGCAATTCTACATTGGAACCTCCAAGGAGTAAATAAAAAAGTTGAAGAACTAGAATTGTTTATTTTAAATTTAAAAGATTGTAATGTTAAAATTATATGTATGAATGAGCACTGTGTAAAAAAAGATAGTAGCTACTTGCTTAACAGAATGTTAAACTTTAGCTTGGCAGATGGTTATTTTAGGGAAAAATCGGAGGGAGGTTCTTGTATATTAGTCCATGACTCTTTGACTTATGTTGTAAGAAATGATTTAAAGATATTTAATGATGAATATGTATTTGAAGGATCATTTATTCAGATTAATTCACTAGCATTAATAATAGTATCAATTTATAGAATACCTGGCAATAAAGTTACAAAGGAATTTCTAAGGAAGCTTAATAACTTGTTTAAACTACTATCAAAAGAAAAGAAATGTTTTAAAATTTTAATTGCTTCAGATATCAATATAAATTTATTGGTTAGGGATACAAATTCAGACCGATTTCAGAATATTGCTAGTAGATATGGTTATAATATACATTGTTTTGAAGCTACCAGAACAACAGTTAATACTACTTCCTGTATTGACAACTTTATATCAAGTCAGAATTATAATGGCTCTCTACTGTATAATATTAAGCACTGTCTTTCAGATCACAATGCTTTGGTTTTATCATTACCTGAGACTAAACAGTGTACTCCTAGCATTCCTAGAAGATTTTTTACTGATAGTGGTTGTGAGCAATTTTTATTTCTACTTAATAATAGGCTGCAAAACTTTTTTATTTTTGATTCATGTAATAGTAGCTATAACTGGTTCTTAAATGTATTTATTACTACCATGTATGAATGTTTTCCACTTAAAATATCAAGAAAAACCAAGAAAAACTCAAAATCAACTTGGGTTTCTAATGAAATAAAATTATTAGCTGACAAGAAAAAAGAATTGTATCAATTAGCTAAGCAAACAAATAATGTATAATGTAAATTAGACTATAAAAATTGTAAAAAAGATCTTAGAAATGCGATTCATAAAAGTAAACAGGTAGCTAATAATAAATTTATTCTAGACTCAAATAATAAAATGAAAGCTACCTGGACCATAGTCAGAGAGGAAATAGGACAAACTAGAGAAATGCCTACAGAAGAAATTCAATTAGAGATGGACGGCAATCTGATTAAAGATCCACAAAGCGTAGCTACCTGTTTTAATCATCATTATGTCAACACAGTTAATTATCTCAAAATCCCTAAAGTTCCGGTGACAGACACTAATGTAGCTTGTAATACATCTCTTAAAACATTAACTGAATTCAAACCCACAGACACATTAGAAATCATTAAAATAATACGAGGTCTAAACAATTCCCTTGCTGTTGGATGGGATGAAATCCCAATCAAACTCATTAAATTGTCAGAACACATCATAGCTCCAGTTTTAAGCAAAATAGTTAATCAAAGTTTTTTAAATGAAGAATTTCCCGATAAGCTCAAATTTTCAGAAGTGAAACCTATTTTCAAAAAGGGATCAAAAACAAATATACAAAATTATAGGCCTATTTCTCTACTTAGTAATCTTTCTAAAATATCTGAAAAATTGATTCACCATCGCATAACTGATTTTTTAGAAAATAATAATTTACTGTCGCCATCTCAATTTGGCTTTAGAAGAAATCATTCAACAACCTTGGCACTCACTAAATTTATCAACTCAGTTTCGGAGGCTCTGGATGGATCACAGAGTGTTGCGGGGGTTTTCTGTGATCTGTCCAGGGCTTTTGATTGTGTTGACCATCAACTTTTAATCTACAAACTAAAAAACATTGGTATAAGAGAAAAGGTCTTAGGTCTCCTCTCAAACTACTTACTAAATAGAAAACAGCGCACAGTAGTTTACAAACAAAATAAACGGTTTCCGTCTAGATGGGATAGGGTCCATTATGGTGTACCTCAAGGTTCTATTCTGGGACCATTGCTATTTCTGATTTTCATTAATGACCTTGATTCAAATATAAGTGGTAGTTTATTTTTGTATGCTGATGATACTAATGTCATGGTAAAAAAACAATGATTTTCAGCAATTAGAAAAATCAATTAAAACAACTGTGGATGAACTAAAAAAATGGTTTTTCAAAAATGGTCTTTTAATGAATGATTCTAAAACCCACTTAATGCACTTTAAAATTAGAAATGGTGAGAAAAACAAGTTGGAGAATTTATCTTGTGGAGAGCTAAAATCAGTCAATACCCACAAGGTTCTAGGAATACACTTTGATTATAAACTAAAATGGGAAAATCATATTCAATATCTGTCCAAAAAGTTGAATTCGTTTAGGTTTGCACTCAGTGTAATTAGTAATACAACATCAATGGATGTATGTAAAATGGTATACCACGCCTACATCGAATCAATAATTAGGTATGGAATAGTACTTTAGGGATATCAGCCCAAAACTAAAATCCTTTTTAATGCTCAAAAATCAATAGTGAGGACTATGGCTCGAGTTAAAAGAAGAAAAAGCTGCAGATCTTTATTTAAAGATATTGGTATCTTAACACTTACAAATCTTTACATAGTTGAAATTGTTAAACTAATGTTTAATGACATTAAAATTTTTGATGACTGTAAATTCAACCATACCTATCCAACACGACATCAGAACAAATTGAAATTTCCTCGGCATAGGCTTTCATTTTATGAAAACTCTCCAAAATACATGGCAGTAAAAGTTTATAATAAATTGTACAGCATTTTACAAAAAAAAAATTCCAAAAACTTAGCCCTTACATCTGTACATAAACTTCTCTTACAAAAACCATACTACACTGTAGAAGAGTTTTTTAAGGATACTTTTTAAACTGATACGCTGAATGATAAGGTCTTTTCTAGTTATATGAGATATTTTACTTATGTTAACTTTATTATTTTTAGTTTAGTTTTAGTTTTAGCTTATATTCTGACGACACTCCAATCTTTTGTACCTTGTGCATTATAAGATGTGATGAGTAAATAAAGAATTTGAATTTGAATATGAAAGAATATGTAGGTCAGCAATATCAATCTGGCCAACCCAATTTCTTTCAATTAGACTACATAAATCAGTCCAGTTTTTTTTCTCTAATCATGGTAACAACTTGATAGATGGTTATGTCACTTACCTAATAAATAAGCACCATCATCTCTGAGTTTCTCTGCTGAACATCGGATGGGCAATGGAATGTCAGAAGACTCGGTGTCAATGTCGTGAAGAGGGATGAGTCTTGGATAGAAGTAAGCTACCGAGTTGGGAATGTCCATGATGTTGACAGCGTACATGGCAAACGACCTGTCATCTATGGTCATATCCGAGCCTGTGAAAATAAATTACTTAACACCTTGAAATCTTAAAATGTGTCTACTTTTATCATAATATTTCTAATATAATCTGATGAATTGTTCTGAAAAGGGCTGTCTGCAATGAGGAAAAAACGTTAAGCACTTAGCTTCTGTCAGTGACACTGTTGTAACCCTAAGATCTAGTTTGTAGTGTTAATGACTGTGGAAACTTAAGTTCAAGTTCTCATAGCTTGCTCAAGTGTGCAAGAAGAATTTCAACGTAAAAACTTAGTAACTTGGACAACCAAAGGTTAAAAGAGAGAGGATGGAAGTAGGTATGTGTCTAACTCATCTACTACACATTCTACAAATTTTAAAGCAATGAAGTCAAAAATATTGCTAGGGTAATACACTTTTTCCACATTCAATTTCCATAATACGTCTTGATATTGACTTAGGCTAGAATAAATTCAAATTCCTTTTATAATCCAGCAAAAAAAATACAATGGCTACGAATACAGTAATAAGAAAGTGGGGTTTTGAGTTTTTTTAAACTGAGATATAATGGGAATAATGATGCCCTTTAAAGGGGAATAGAAATGTCTTTTTTTTATTGCTAACAAACTCTTTCAAGATACTTAAAAAAGGCAAGTTATTAATTGTATGTAAATAGGATAGAAAATGCAATTGCTATTTTCTCAACACATTAATAATTTAAGGGTTTTTATATAAAAGTTTATAAATAGGATAGAAAATGCATTTGCTTTTTTCTCAACACGTTAATAATTTAAGGTTTTTTTTATATAAAAGTTTATAAATAGGATAGAAAATGCAATTTCTATTTTCTCAACACATTAATAATTTAAGGGTTTTTTTATATAAAAGTTTATAAATAGGATAGAAAATGCAATTGCTATTTTCCCAACACATTAATAATTTAAGAGTTTGTTTATGTAAAAGTTTGACTGTAGCTCATATAGGTAATTAAGAGTCTGTAATCTAAAAAACGTCAAAGAGAATTACTATAAGTTAAAGCTGAAACCGAAGAAATGTTATTTTACTATTTAAACATTTAGTGCATTAGTGAAATCAACATTTACCAATATTACTATTTATGAAATAACACTAGCAACAAGTTTCTATTGGAATGACAGATATTTATGAACTCACAGGGTTATAAAGGGCAATCAATACGATGTAGATTCTCATCAATATAAATTAATAATGTGTTCAGTGAGTAGGTTACTAGGTGTACCAAACAAACCATTACAAAAATTAGGATTGTACAATAAAGGGAAACAATTTGCTAAATATGTAATTCTTACGTTCATTTAAAAGCAGAAGACCTCCTTCACAAAATAAAGTACCTGATTAAGAATACAAGACTGTATTTTTATCATCCAAGATCAAACGCTTCAAATGTATAATTTACAAAAAATACATAACTATATGAATAATTATTGCAAGCAAACCATACAGATTAGATTTACAATTTCTGTGTTGATTCTCCTCATTCCCTTTTATTTTACTAGGAGTATAATTTTGGGTTATATTGTTTTCTCACCTCCAGAGACAGCATCACTCTTGAGTAGACAGCTGACGTAGAGTGGCAGCAGCTTCATACACTCTGGCAGTATCAGCTGTCCTGCTGAGCTGGGCGACGCACAGTTCTTGCGGTAACACGCCAGCATCATGGCACATCTTTGGACCAGTGAGTCCTTAACCTGCTTAGGTGGGTTCTCCCTCAGTCTGAACAGTGCTGCCAACAGAAACAACATGAAACTGTGATGGTAACACACCAGCATCATGACACATCTTTGGACCAGTGAGTCCTTAACCTGCTTAGGTGGGTTCTCCCTCAGTCTGAACAGTGCTGCCAACAGAAACAACATGAAACTGTGATGGTAACACACCAGCATCATGACACATCTTTGGACCAGTGAGTCCTTAACCTGCTTAGGTGGGTTCTCCCTCAGTCTGAACAGTGCTGCCAACAGAAACAACATGAAACTGTTGTTAACACACCAGCATCATGGACCAGTCCTTAACCCCTTCTGTGTGTCTTTAACCTTGGGTGGGTTCTCCCTAATTGAACTGTTAACTGGGTCCCTGCTGCAACCTTCTGAAAATACTATACCTTCCATAGTACAGCGCTGAAGCTTATTCCCAGGCAACTTTTGTGAATAAAAATATTGAATACCTGTTGTAACGTCAAAGATACGTTTTTCAGTCCAGTTTTTAAGATCATTGGCAAAACATCAGTTATTTAACCATTTGAATTGAAAAAACGTGATTCAGAGGCTTTCATTCGTAAAATTTGAACAGAGATTATTCATAAAACAATTTAAACCCAAAAATATACTAGCAAAATGCTTAATTATTAATTTAAAAATCTATTACTGTTTAATTTTAGGTAGACCATGTAGAATATACCTTGTTTAGCAAAGAAGTTCATTATGGTGTCCAGCTCACAGGCCCGGTAAAGGTCTGCCATTTGACTACATGTCTTGAGTGAGAGATTGAGAATGCGGATTCTCCTCTGGCCGCTGCAAGAAGTGTGTAGCAGGGCGACTTGTACAAACACGCCTTCCTCCTCCGTCAGCTTATCATCATGCTTCACCTCTAGTGCCACAGCCTGCAACATCAAAAACAGCTCAAAACCAACACAATTGTTATTATTTAATTATTTTTTTGTTTTATTTTTTCAAAAAAATAGGTTGGCGGCCTCTTTTTGCCTTGCATTTGCCTGTCCACATAGAATATGGGCTCGTGGAAGGAATGTATCTAGCAAAGCTAGGGGTGAACTGTACTGATAAAACTGTTTGCAGCAGTGAACAGTTAGTAATTACACCAGTTAGTGATTAGTTTATTAATTACACTAAACAACATTAATTTACTATTTTTCTTTTAAAGAAAATGTGGGGATTTTTTTTACATAAACCTAGATCTGACACACTGATTGTGATACACAGTCAAGTATGTGAAGAGGCAGCTTCCAAATTAGGGAAAATGAAAAAACCCTTTATAAAATGTGTTATATTGCAATTAGCTTTATATTTCAACAACATAGAGTTGAATGACGAGTATTTATGAGAAAACAAATATCATGGTTGTAAACAATTGCTTAAGTACTTCTCATATAACAAAGAACAAAATGAAACTTTACTCTTAGGTAAGTGTGGTTATTTAAATGCGCAAACATATAAATTAGGAACACAACAGAAAAATAAAAATATTTAGTTAAATAGTTTTATTTTTAGTTATATAAATCAATTGTCTTATGTTTATAATTTTAGCAGTTTGTAAGAAAAATAAATTATTTTCTACGGAACCGATTTGTAAAGTGCCTCCGCTTGTACTATGGGCCTAATAAGGTCTTTAAGGAAACAACCATTTATAATCTGGGACTTGGAATGACAGGTGTCTTACCTTATCACAATCGATAGAAGCCAGCTCCATATCCGTGGTGTTGGACATGAAGAAGTGACCAAAGAAGTCAGTGGGGCGAACTCCTGTGGAGGTTCTGACTCTCATGATGGCATCAAACACGATCGGCCTTCCTATGTCATACTTGACATCCGCTATCAGGCGGTCACCATCGATATTGGCCTGGAGTGAAAACCAGCTGGTTAAATTAGAGGCTATGTAAAGTGATGGTGTATAGTTCGGCCGCTTAGAAAGCGACCTCCATTGGTTTAGCATTAGCGCGCAGGTCGTTTTCTAAGCGGCCGAACTATAGTAAAAGCTGTACTCTATATAACACGGTGTTTGTAGCATATTCTAAGAATGTTTGATTGATTTTGCTTGACCAGCAAAGAGAGTGTTTGTTATATAGAAACAATTCTAGAGAAAGATTACATTTAAATTTAAAATTAATATACTGGGGGAAATAAACTATTATGTTGGGCTTGTCAAGTAGACATAACAGCTTGGTCAAATGGGATAGTGTGAACTAAGTTCAATAAAAATTACCAGGGCTACTTAAATTACAAAGGATACCAAGCCCTTAGTATGCATATGAATAAAAAGGTTAGAGAATACTATTAATTTTTAACTCACTAAAATGCAAACAAACTGAAAATTATTTTATATTAGAGATTTGGAATGTATAGGCTAACCAAATTATTTTTTAGCTTAAACATGATGCCGGAGTTAACTTAACAGGTTGTTATTTTACCTGAAAGTACGTGTACTTGAATATCTCTCCCCCAGTGAGGCGACAGACTTGGCCGATGGTAGCGAGGTCAATGTACGAGTTGTTCATGACAAACAGATCAACACTACATCCAACACCTACACACTCTTGTGCCAAGTTGTTGTAGAAGTTGGTCTGAGGATCTGCATACAACATTAAATCACTACTTGTATTTAAACGGATTGCTTAAAGAAAATTTTCCATAAATAACTCTAAGATAAAAGTTTGCAAACAAAAACTACAAGAAAATGTAATGTTAAGATAATTTACTTTTCTTAATATCTTGTAGAAACTCGAGACCAAGAAGTTGGAGGGAATTAACATAATGACCTACACAGAATTACACAGTTCTGGATATTCTTATAATTCATTAATAACCAATGCAGTTAAAAAACCGTTATAAGAGTTTCCTCGTTCACCAATGCTACTTACTTAATACAGTTTTTTCTTTCTCTGTGGCAAGCAGTTTACGATCGTCCCTGTTTTTCAGTTTGCCAGGAGCTTCAGCAGTAGGGAGCGAAGTATGGAACACCACCAGTTTTCCAGCACATTCAGCCGCCTTAAACACATCATTGTATTTATCATGTTAATGATTAATGACAGTTTTTATGGTATGAGATTATCATTTGTCAAAAACATTCAACTTAAATAGTACTAAACTTCACACAGTTTATGAAATAAAATTATTTAATAATGAATTGTTTTGGGGCTAACAATAAAGTTCTGTCAAACTAAACTACTTTGTGTAAAATATAAAGCAACTTTGAACTAACCAAGGTAGAAAAAGAGAAAACCCACTTATCACTTAACGGCAAGAATCTGTTTTAGGCTACAGATAGATGTACAGAAAAATGCTACACTAAATTATTCCAACATTTAGGTTGTTGAAAATCCTATATCAAGGATGAAATAGGATAAACAAAATTTTCAAAGATTCTTTAACCCATTGGCGCCGACTTACGAGCGTTACTCGTACGGCCGCTGCAGGCCCGGCAGCCGACTTACGAGAGCCGCTCGTGTCACCGCTAGGCAGCGCCATTTTTTATTTAGTTATTATTATATTTCGCCCTTTTTGTTTCTTCTTACTATTATAATGTTTATAAATATATTGCTTCTTGATTTGTGTATTTACTCATTTATTTTAGCGAATAACAAACAATTTTGTGTTGCAATGGAAACCACATATCACCAAAAATCAGCTGCGGTAAGGTAAACAAACATTTTTTTAAAAATGTTATTACTTATAAAAGTACACAACTTTTGAGTTTTCTACGTAGGGAATCAATTGACCTTTATAATAGTAGTGTTATTTGGTGTCTGGATTAATCTTGGAATTTGTATATCAAGTTTACTTTCAAAATATTGTTTTTAAATTTTAACATTTTTATTTTTATAATCTTTATATATACATATTTTTTTTAGTTTAGAACTTTGACCATCCAATTACCACTTTTCTGTAGACAATTTTACTGTGAACAAAATGGTGAAAGAATTATTAATTTATTACCTAAGGTTTTCTTTCTATAGCAGTTAGAGTAAAAGTCTACAAATTCGGTAAAATTAATTGCCGCCAGAGGGTGCTGCAGGTAGCGCATTAATTCCTTCCCCAATGGGTTAATATAAGAGATTTTGAACTTTTACTGTTGGGGTTTTCGAGGCCTACATGATATATAACTTTAGACAGCTAGATTTATAACAATAAAGACGCCAGCCCTTTTGTTGTTTTCTAATAATTAACTTACTAAATCTTTGAGCCCCAGGGGTTGAATTAAGGGTATTTTATGACATTTTTCCTTTGTATGGATAAATTTTTACACATTTTCTTGCATAGAAATTAAAATTTTATAAAAAGTTTGGTTAAAACACATGCAGTATCGCAAAAGTATAAAATTAGTTAAATTCTTGATTTGAGATTCAACTTAAAAAAGAATCCACCCATCATGTCGGCTTTCACCCGAGGTGTCCATTGCTTACTTAAGGTGGACCTCTCTCACTGACAGGTGAATTACACACCAGATCTAATGATTCAAACCTTCAATCTTAGGTGCTGCTTCTGGCCAGGAAAACAACACCTTAAACCAGTTGAGCATTGATTGGACCAAACAGTCTACCACACTGACATAAACCCAAAGCCCAAGCATAGTTGTTCTAAGAAAGACCCCATGATTGCAGCTCTCGTCATGTACAGCGTTCAGCCTTTTTATCGAGTTATGTAGTAGTACCTTGAGAGCTTCCATGCCAGCCTGTACGACGGGGCCGAGGATGGTGTCAGTTTCCCTGGTCTCGGCAAACATGTCTGGTATCTGCTGCATCAGACTGTCTATGACAGCCTCACTCTCCTCTGGGTCCACTAGGAACCCGTCCAACAGCGGCATGAACATCTCATTGGTGTCTCCTACCACCAGCATCTGGGGCTGAGCCAGACATCCCTGCACAACACACATCACGAGACATTGTCAATTTCTGATAGGGATGGACAGGACAAGACAGGTTCCCTTCCTGATTAAAGGACGGCAAGTACAGGATTTTCTTTATGTGCAACAAGGGAATCTTAGGTTGTATTAAAAATCTTTTCTTGTGAACTTTAATGATGAACAAAATTCTGTATTCATTCCACTTCTTGAATTTTAACTAATAAAGAATAACTAAAAGTAATCACTGAATTCCAAAAACCACTCAAGACAAAATGTGAATTTCATATATTTCATTAATGGCTTTACCTTAACATTGTAAAAGTGAACAGAGTTGTTGTATGTGACGAAACCAACTCTCATCCTGGATTTTTCTTGACCAGGCTCTCTGGGTAGGTTCCGTAAAATGTCCTTCATTTGAGAACATAACAGGTGTACCAAGCCGGACTTCATGTTGTTGTATGAAACATCAATCATGAAAATGACAGCTGGGGGTTTGGGGAACTGGTCATTCTGTAAACAAAGAAATTATAACTGAACCAATTTAAACAGAAATTAATGTCCTCTCAATTATCAGTTTTTGATTCTTTTTTTAAAAACCGGTAAAACTGCGACTGACATAGGAAACCAACCCATCCTTAAGTAATTTTTCTTAACCATCAACATGGAAGTATACTCATGTAAGTACCTGCACAATATCAACATTTATGAATTTACTAGCATTGGACCTGTCCTACTCACAGGGTTGTGTTGTCAGTTAAAACCATATTCATTTCAGAACAGCCAACAGTTTACAAATAAAGTTTAAATTTTTCAAGAAAGGACATTGATATCAAATAATGTACATAACCAACAAATCTGATGGTTTTATTGTACAGTAAATAAAATGCCTTGTAAACAAATTTTACATGGTCATCCTTTCTAGCCATTTTATGCCTGATGATTTAAGAATATTAAGTATTCTTATAATTTAAGAAATAAGAACGAAAATGTACAACCACATAGGACAAAATTTTTTGAAAAGAAACCATCCTATGCAGGTAATAGATTTTCTAAATTTATTCCAAAAGATATTAAAAAAGAAACAGATCCAAACAAATTTTAAAAAATATTGAAAGAGTATTTAATAAATTTAGCAATTTATTCTTTTGACGATTTTTTTCACCTCCCTCAGTTGCTATGATAAATTATCTTACTAGATTTGTAAAATGTATTTGTTGTTTTTATAACCATTCCTCATGTTTTGCTGTTTTTTATCCTGTTGAACTATTTTGACACTATTTTTATTGTAATTATTTTGACACTATTTATTGTACAATGTACACAAAAACGAATAAAAATATTTGAATTGAATTGAATTGAATAAAATAAACGCCACTGTTTCTGTCTGTGAGGCAAAGCCCTCAAGTAAAATTGAGTGCTACTTTCCACAATTTAAAAAAAAATAGCTACCACCTTGGCATTGCACAATACACTGTTTGAAATTTCCATTAAAAGAGCTTACATTTTTCCATTGAACACTGACAAATAAGGGCACATTATGAGGTTCAGATATATAGTCACACAAACATGCAGACAAACAGATAGAATTAGGACTTCATCCGGCTATTATAAGGTATAAAACGCAACCAACCAAAATATTAGGCTATCCAAAGCAATGTACAGAAATATAATATCTCTAATCCAATAAAACTTTTTGGTCTTTGAAATATTTGGTCAGTTTAGGTAATTTAATTGAGAGTGAGACTATACTGTACTTGTAAATTATCTATATGATCATAATGATCATAAAAATGCTTAACAGTTTCTGTAACACTTGTGTTATATATTTACCCTGCAATACTCCTTGGTAGCAACAAACTCGTAGGAGCCCAAAACCAGTTCTGGCCGTTCGTATCTGTCGATGCGCTGGCCTGTGTGGTCCAAGTGCTGGAAGTACGCCTCAGGAACTGCATCATATAACAATCATGTAAAACCTTGTAATCATTTCACTATAGGCCTACTAAACAGTATTAAATTTAGTTGTTCAAATAATGTTTAATGCTTTATTTCTAGTAGGTAAAGCAACTGCCAAAGTAACAATCATACAATGGTAATTTAGTTTAAAATATTAAATACAACAATATTTCAAATCAAATTCCATGTTGAGGGCTTAAGTAAGAGGGCCTATTGAATAGCTAACACATTTTTGCTTTAGAAACTCATTTATACAATAGGGAGTCAAATTTATAAAAAATTGGTTTAGTTTCTTTAAAATTTTAATTTGTTCTATTTTTTTAGTTATGCAGGCTGATTTCTTATGAATAAATTGCTGATATACTAAGGCTTCATTTCCCCATAATTCCTACTCTGTGGTAACCCCAGAATCGAGGTTAGAAGAAAATCAAAATTTTTTCTACGCCAACTACACATTGTCTCGAAGGATATGTTGATGTACAACTAACCGTCAGTAGTTGCTTTGCAGAAGAGACACTGGAAGCGTCTGCCTCCATCTATGAACTGCATGAAGGGGCACATGTAGGCCTTGCAGCGGATACATCGCACAGGCCCCAGGTCTCCCATGTCTACGATGGGAGGAGGAGGCTCCTCGTCTAGCTGACGGGCCAGAGGACTTATCACCAGACCAAATGGCACGGCCGTCTGTAATAACAAGTAGTGAGTGACACTACCAAAATCCCTAACTGCTTCATAGGTACCCCCTCCCCACCTAATCAAAAGATCTGACATTCATATCACCAATAACCTAACTTACAATCTATCATCATTCTCATTTCTCTAAACACAAAGTATCACTTTCACAATTCAATTGAAATGAAATCAATTTCACAATTCGTGGCTTTAAAAAAGCTCATTTTTTCAATTAAGTTACCACACAAATAATTATAATTTTTTATGCAACACAGTAGTGCAATTTACAATTTATGCAATACTGCTATCATGTTAAACTTTGCATAATGTTTGGGTATACATCATAGCGCAAAGCAAGGGTGAGTAGGCTTCAATCTGTCAGTCAGGTTGAATATTGAATGCCAGTGCAACTACTTGAACACCAATTTGAATAGAAAACTCATACTTAATAATTTCCTTGTCAGCAAAATCAAGTCTTCCTGTAATGAATTATTGCGTGGTAAAATCTTTGTACTTTGCTTTTGCCTGTCTGACCTGCTTCATCATGTCGACGTTGACAGGCACACTGTACATGGTGGATCTGACGAAGCGAGGGCTGCAGTTACCCTGGTCTTGTACCACAAACTGTGTGGTCACTAGAGGTGGTACTTGTCCTCTCTGGTTGGTGTAGAACACTCCCCCCTTGCTCTTCTGGTCCTCCATCATCACTTGAAGCTAAACACAAAAACGCAGTTCAATAAATTGTAATGCACGTTTTTACATTTTTGCATCTTTTCACAAAAGGGATAAAAGCAATAGACAACAGTTTTTATTACAAGACCTAAAATGAGTCACAGACCTTGTTAGGGTTTCTGGAACAACAAAGACAAGAGATTTGAATAGTATTGACTAGGCCTGAAGAAATTATACTTTTACACGCCAATAGGTGACCAAGATAATCAAAGTGTAAAATAACAATGTTGATGAATAAATCTGAATTATTTTGGTAATACTTTAATATTTTTCATTAAAATGGCGAACGTACAAAGTAGGTATTTTAAGCCAAGTACGAATGGAGATGAGTGGAGCAATCTTGTAGTCATGCTAGTGACAAAGGCCGACATATTCCTTAGACACAGCTGTTAATTAATAGCCCATACAGCTAATGGCAACTAAGGACCTACAGTTTATATTGGAATCCGAACCATATTTTTGCCCTGGTATTAACAAATTGGTCTAATAATCAGGATAGTACTGCGGATAGTCGTAGTACTCACTAGTGCAGACGTTAATCCACACCAGGAAGTATTGCATCCACAGTGCATGCCTATAAATATCCACAATCAGTGACCTCCTAGTAGCTGGATTACAGGACGATGCCAATGGAATTTTGAGGATAATCCTTAATTTATTACTGAATGTTAATGTTAGCAGATCTAAGCACTCATCTATCACATTGTTTATTATTAAAAGTTAAGCAAAGCATAACTTTCCATGTCCTAACTAAATTTTAATAAAACAATTTGAAATAACCACAATTTTCAGGTTCCCTATGTTAATGACACAGTTTGAGTACTAACAGGGCTAGGCATCTGGTCAGGATCAAGACGACGCTGAGGCGCCTGCTGGCCAGGATAGGTGGGGCCAGGGTAGGCACCTGGGGCAGGCGGGTGGCTGGCTGTTTGGTAGCCAGGATAGCCGGGCTGTGGCTGTGGTTGTGCCTGCGGCTGAGGTGGATAACCACCTGGTTGTGGACCTCCGTAGCTGTTCACTGCAGGGTAGCCACCGCTGTTACTGTACATCTCCTGCTAACAACCATTTCAATTCACTTACAAATGTTTTTCTTGATATCAAGCTCTAAAAATGTATTATGCATATTGGAAATTAATTAACTTTGATTTCTTTCACTTGCTTGCAATAAGAATTTGCAGCTACCTCAACCTTGATTCTTGGGAAGAGGTTACTAATATAAGAAAAAAATAATACAACTACAATTATAACTACATATTTATTAAGTGGTAGAAAAATAACTTGTGATTCCGTGACACTTTGACGTGAATGAACACTATTTGATTAAGTTTCGTAACAGATCTTTTTAAGTCACACAATGACGAAATAGAAATAACTTAATTGAATACTACTCCTACATTACTTCCAATATCACTAAATCCCAAAATAGGCTATGAATATTACTTCTCATATCGCACAATGATAGAATAGAGGTTAATTAAATAAAGGTTAGCCTACTTATACATTACTTGCTATATCACACAATGACAAGATAGATGTTAATTAATTGTGAATTACTTTCCATAAAAGAATTGATTACTTAGTTGAAAATTACTCCTACATTACTTTCTATATCACACAGTGACAAAATAAAGGTTACTTAAGTGAGAATTTTTTTATGGGTAGCGTTATTAGATTTATGTGACAAGTTATCAAAGGGTTTTAGCCTACTCACCGAAGGTTGTGTTGGCGAGGGGTACTTCCCTTGCTGAGGCGGAGGCATGGGACCTCGCCCAGGTCCTGGCACTTGTGGAGCTCCATTCATGTACCCAGGACTGATCAAGTCTGGGGGAGAAGTTCCATTGACGGCCGGCGGAAAACTACTAGTAGGAGCAGCAGTCTTAACTGGTGGGGCGGGGAAATTCTAGAGAAAATCATGTTGTTAGAACAAAGAAAAACATCATTGTAGTCAGCTACCAAATCACTCTTAATTAAAGATGTGTCAAAAACAAAAATTTATCAATTCTCGATACAGGCACTTGAAAAATCTGTTCTCTATACCCATACCATTGATGGCATGATATATCTAAAAGCACAATGGCTAGTAGATTAGACTGAGAGCAAAACTGTCTGGGAGGAATCATATGAGACTTATTGTCAAAAATGTGTATGTTAACGCAAGCAACCAACATCCCCAACCTTTTTATCATTGTTTTTAGGGGCGGCAACTTTATGCAGAAGATTGTTGAATTTCGTCTACTGAATCTCGCCTTTGAATTTTTTCTATCCACGGTCGGTAATAGTCACAGCGTCGGCTCTGGACAATCGATTCTCCATACCGATATCAATGTACCCCATGGTATCAAGAATCGACATATCCCTATTTTTAATAATAATGATGCTTTAACAGTTTCTTAAAGCAGTTCAATAGCAACAACTGAACAAATAAAGAAAATAATAATTCTTAAACCAAAACTTAGACTGTGGTGTTGAGTGAAGCCCCTTGGGTTTAGTCTAGAGATTTAGTTGTAAAATTAACCAATAATAATTTTAAAATATTTTATAGGCAAAGCTTATTTTAAATATGTTAACTGATGCGACTAGAGAAATTCATAAACTGATTCAGCGAATATGGAACGAAGAAGAAATGCCCATAGAATGGAGTGAATCTGTAATAATCCCGATCCACAAAAAAGGAGACAAAGAAACTTGTAGCAATTTTAGAGGAATATCCCTACTTAACTCAACTTACAAAATATTGTCTAAGATTTTATTGAACAGAATAAAACCGTATGCAGAAGAATTCATTGAAGACCATCAAGCTGGTTTCATCAGTGGACGCTCAACAACGGATCAAATTTTTGTGATTAGAGAGATAATATCAAAGTAATGGGAATATAATAAAGAGTGTTATATCCTGTTCATTGATTTTGTAAAAGCTTATGATACCATAAAAAGACCCAAACTCTGGGAAACAATGCAGAAAATTGGAATTCCCGACAAACTGATAAATTTGACAAAGATGTGTGTTGAAGGTTCCAAAAGTAAAGTTAAGATAGAAAATGAATACTCAGAAACCTTCCAAACCCATTCAGGGGTTAGACAAGGGGATGGACTTTCACCAATTCTTTTCAATATTGCAATAGAAGAAACCTTAAAAAGCACCAAACATATCGAAGCTAGAATAAACCTCGGATCTATAGTAAACACACTTGCTTTTGCGGATGATGTTGCATTAGTTGCAGAATCAAAAGAGGGCCTAGGTAAGCTTACTGAGATTATTATAAGGGAAGCAAATAAGATTGGACTTAAAATAAGTGAAGAGAAGTCAAAATATCTGAAAGTCGGAAGAACCCAAACAGGAGCTGAACCTTTTAGGGTCAATAACCATAATTTTGAAAGAGTAAACGAATTTAAATACCTCGGAGTCTCAGTTAACTGGAATAATGAAAGAGAAACAGAAATAGAAAAGAGACTGATTGCAGCAACCAAATGTTTCTGGGGCGTATCAAAAATATTTAGTTCAAAAATACTATCCAAAAACACAAAATTAAGAATCTATAAAACTTTAATTCAACCAGTGCTTTTATATGGTTCGGAAACCTGGACATTAACTAAAAATCATGAAAGCAAACTTATAATTTTTGAGAACAAAATTTTGAGGAAGATTTTCGGACCTATAAATGAAGAAGGTATGTGGCGAATAAGAAAAAACCGAGAGCTCCAAGAACTGTACAAAGAACCGGACATTGTAGCCATAGTGAAGAGTAGACGACTGAGATGGGCAGGCCATGTAGAAAGAAGGGAAGAAGAAAGTATGCTTAAGAAGATCGCCAATGGACAACCACGAGGCACTCGCCCGCTAGGAAGACCGAAGTTGAGATGGAGAGACCAAGTCCAGAAGGCAGCAGTGGAGGCAACTTGTTGGCGAGGCCAAAAAACCTTCTTAGGTTTGAGTGGCCAAGGAGGTAAGGTAAGGTAACTGATGTGGCACTTCTGACAAACCCCAGAACAGTCTTAACAGCAAGTTAACAGGCAGTCTTAGTAGCAAGTTATGAAATAGATGAAAAGTTATGTTTTTAAAATGTAATAAAATCTTACATTTTGTGGTGGAGGTGATGTGGGACCATTGATGGACATGCCAGCCATCTGAGAGTGTAGCTGGGGGGGCAGTGGTTGACCAGTGGGGGGAGGGGGGCCAGGGGGCATACCCCCACCTCTCAGAGGACCCCCGTGACCTCCAGGCCCAGGATGCGGGAACTGGAACAAGGTTAATATGTTATATAGATATTCGTACTAAAGAAAACTGAGAATAGAAGCAAATAAATCCATCACTTGTATTACTTTGAGGGGATGGCAAACAAAATTAAGCTTGTAACACTAATACAACAAATTTTAATTTTAATTTCATAGATTGAAGTAGGCCTACAGTAAGAAAAAAGCTATAAATATTTACATTAGTAGTAAAGCAAACTAGGCTATGATAGGCCTACCTTATTCTTTAAAATTAGATTTTTTTTAATGTTATTTTGCAAACTGAAGAGGTTTTATAAAAATGGAAAGAATTTTAAACTAGACTAGAAATTTTATTTTGATGCCGAGTGATCACTTAATAAATTATAAACTAATATAATATGGTAGCCTAACTAAAAACTTAACTAGGCTAACTTAACTTTAAAAAACACAACACTTAGGTAACACTTTCTCTTGTTTTTAGGACTTCTTCACTAATCAAAGTTTAGTTGGGCTGGGCATGTTTTGAGGAGGGATGAAAAATAATCTAAAACAAGTTTTAAAGAGGAAACCTGAACGATGACAACTGAGGGAATCCCCAGACACAGTAAAATGGAGGAGCCAAGTTATAACTAGTTCGGAGAGAATACGAGCAACTGAGGGAGACGCAGGATATTAAGAAGTGGAGGGACTTTTTTTGGTGCGACCAAATATCTATCTAGGAGTAGAAGTATAGTAGAACTTTAATAATTACGGTATCTGAATCTATTTGGACCAGAACACATGAGAATAATCAAACATTCGGATGATTTTTAACCGAATTTGGGGCGTTTTACAGAAAATAGGCCAAGTCAATCTGAGATTTTACTGTTGCGATTGCAGAGATCATCTGCAGTTTTCGAGTTGAAAAATTCCAATTTTCGTTGGTGTTTCAGGAGAAAACATTGATTTCAAGACCACAGAAAATATGTGAGATTTTACTGTAATCACAGAAAAGATTATATTGTGACTGTGGAAGGCAATGATAATGTCTACAACAAGACCGCGGAAGAAGTTTTTGCTGCGATTGCGGAGAGTTTCCATGACCGGGGGAGACATAATGATCATGAATGGCTACACGCACGTGGGATATATGTTACATTTTTCCATGGTTAAGGAGGACGATGATCATGTTTCTGTGACTGCAGGAGACAATGTTGATTTATGGAAGACCTCAGAAGGTATGCAAGATTTTGTTACAGTCGTGAAAAATGATGAGTTTTTTATTTTGCCGAGATCAAGGTTTCTGCCTTTTAACAAAGATTCTTGCTGTGGTTTTATGTTGTTCTTCAATTCTTTCTGTAAGCGATTCAGATAGTTGGAGTTTGGATATTCACAGAGGATACGCGTCCGGTAACCAGACGTGGATTAGGCGTCCGGTAGTGACGTCACCGGGTTGTGGGGTCCCGGAACGCCATTACCACAACGATACGATGAATGGTCAGCGTTGTTCGTGGTGTAGTGGATAGAGTGCTCTGCTGATATCCTAGAGGTCCCTGGTTCGAAACCCATCGGTTTCTTTAACTTTTTGTCACAGATTTTGCTTTGAATGTAATTTCTTCTTAACTGTACATCTTTTGTTAGAATTTTTGGCATTTAAAATTTTATGTTATGAAGAGAATTGAACCTTCATTTGATTTTTTTCACTATCAGCAAGTTTGGTTGGTTAGGTTACGTTATGACAGTAACTGCCGGACGCCTAATCCACGTCCGGTTACCGGACGCGTATCCTCTGCGTTGGATATTTGCAATTCTACTGTAAGTAGGACTTGTTGAGAGGTTAGATGAGAAAGAATTGAACCCTATAAATGAGTCCTATCCTAAAACCAAATATTATTGTGTGTTGCATAAAGTTTCTTGTGTATCATAGGATCTTGAAATCGTTTTCTCAAAGCAGGACTATTTCATTACGATAATCCCAACCTTGTTTTTTAATAAATAAATAAATAACATTTCTTTAATAGGGATACCCAGGAATGTTTCCTTTTAAATTTGTGAAATTAATTAAAACATTTAACCATCTAACGTTACATCATACTTTGCTACACGAATTACTGTATTTACTCACCCCATCACCAGAGGAAGGCTGAGGTCCTGAGGGTGGAGGCATCTGCTGAGTCATCGGAGGTCTCTGCATCGGCGGCATCCGCGGAGGGTACCCACCTTGGAACAAAACCAACAATATAACACATCTGTCTCACACCTCACACATAGGCCTAACCCTTAACATCAATCTCAAGTATATTTTATAAAAACAATCAGGAAGAAGGAATGGGTACACAGCTAACTTAGTAAAGAAATGAGTTCCCTGTGGTTGACAGTATACACAAATTTCACAACACAATTAATGATTCACTCCTTCAAGGGGCTTCTTCAGAAGAAGGTAGTAGGATGACAGTTACAAAACTGGCACTGTTTAAAATGTTTAAGATAGTCTTGCCAACACATCACTTACTAATCACTAAAAACTAAGGCTAGTCTGTAGGCCTATACATATATAAACATATACAATAGTCTAATTTACAAAATGTAGATTATGTTTGTTAAGTCATGGGTTAGGGGTAAGGTAGGGTTTATCTGACATTTAGAATTTGTGGTTTTCTTGAGTTTGTGACAAATTGGTAGGCTAAGGCCTCGGGTATGATACGAGCGGCAAGCGGTGTGAGCAGCACTGCTCTGACATTGGGCCTCATTTAGTTGCCTGTAAATTTGTTGAGGGTGGACCTGGAGACGTCCTGCACGTCTTCCACAATTTGCAATCTTAAACTAAACAGACACTTACATCAGGGTAAATTCGATGCGCGTTAGAAAAGTACTACTTGTATTGTAGCCACCACCACTTACGTTTCGCTCATGATGCCGCACGCCGCTTACATCGTAACTGAGTTTGGTTATAATTCCTATCTTCTTAGCATAGAGCTATTACATTGATTCTCTGGTAACGATTCCAGAGGTTTGGTAATCAAACAGTTGTCAAATTCCAGGCTTTGGGACGGGGCATGTTGGGATTCATGGGGGATCGGCCTTTTTTCTTATAAAGCTTAGCCATGTATTAACTTAGACGACCAAGACTGAATCAACTGAACCAAGACTTGTCATCTTGTAGTAGAATCTGAAGCTCTTTTCTGTCTTGTTTATGTTGGTGACAATAAGGGATAGTGAACAAAAATGTTATTCTCTATTTTTAAGGTTAGTTTTATGATTTATGCTTTAATTTTTTATTACAAAACAAAAGCAAGAGCTATTGTTTAAAATTAGACAATTTCATTTGGATAAACTGGCATTGAAATACCTGAGATAATAAGAAAAAAAATTGAAAACAAGACCACACCTCTAGCACCTTCACTGCAGATGACAAGTAATCTCGTCACTGCTAGTGCTTTCCAGTGGTGCGCGACAAGTATACTCGTCAAAAAACTATTGTTCCAATGCGAGGTTAGCCACTGCCTTGATACGTTGTTTCCCTTGCCGCTTATTGTGCCAGTGTTGTACTTCAATCTGGTATAGTTTATTATCTGATCCGACTAGCCTATTTTATTTGTGGTAGGGACGGTAACAAGTTTATTGTAGTGTGGGGTTTAGGCTTGAATCTAATAACATGCAAAAGAATAACGTTAATGAATGTACTGTAGCATTGTGGAAGGAACCTAACCTCAAAATTGTGCTTAACCGCTTTTTTGTGGTATTTTTTTATGGAGTATCCAGGTAATTCACCCCTTCTTTTTCCATTCGCAGCAGTATTGCTTAGTGGTGCTTCTGTTGGGCTCTTGTTAAACTAAGTCCACGACGTCTTGTAATACGACTGAGACACAGTTTATGCCTCTTATTTGGATGAAACTAAATTTGAACGTTTCCGCGCACTCGTCCACGGAGCCAGGGCCGGCTCCAGGGGTGGGCGGACCGGGTGGTCGCCCAGGGCGGTGGGGCCGGGGCGGTGGGGCCGGGGCAGTGGGGCCGGGGCAGCGGAGCCGGGGTGGCCGCGGCGGAGCCGGGGTGGCCGCGGCGGAGCCGTGGCGGGAAAGCCGGGGTGGTGGAACTGGGGCGGCAGAGCCAGGGCAACAAACAAATTTTAGGGAACAGTAAATTTTTAATACGAATAAAATAACAAATTCATCAAGTAAATGTGAAGAGTACAATTATCTATATTACATTTTACGCAAAGAACAAGCCTAAGAAGATAAACGGGAATTCAAACATCGATTTAAAATTATAATTTAAGGCCAAATATAAAAACAAACCACTCGGCTTTTGTATCGAACAACCGTCGCCACCACGTTACGACGTTACCCAGGACGAGTGACAGCGTCAAAGCAACATTGCAGCAGTTGGGATTGACCTCGACTTATTCCTCTCTCTCTCTCTCTCTCTCTCTCTCTCTCTCTGCCCCCTCCCACGACGTTGTGTTTACTTTATTATTGATTATTTTGGTAGCATGGGCTTCCCTTCCCTCTGAGAGAGAGGAGTTGCAAAAATGAGATATTTTGCAACTTTTAATCTAAACAATGTCGTAATTTGCTTCAAAAATTAATAACATTGCCGTTTTGGGGGAAATCCAAGATGGCCGAAAGTCCTGCCGACTCTTAGGTCAGATTTTAAACAAACACCAAAAAAAAATTGATTTTTGCAACTGTAAACATAAACCAGCTTATGAAATGAAAATAATTTCAAAATGTACAATTTATACTTAGAAACCTTAGTACATAATAAGGTCAGAGTTCAGGGAGACACCATAATTCGGCGATCGCTCAAGGAAGGGGTGGAGCCCAGGAGTAAACAATTAGGCGGGACAGTGGCGTAGATACGGGGGGGGGGGGGGATCAGGGGGATATATCCCCCCTTCAACCTATAATGGGTAAAAAAATTGTAATAACATTTAAAAACAATGTTTAACGTATTATGCAATGAAATAGTGAACCTTTTTAATTTTACTTCTATTGTATTAAGCTTGTTTTTCGAAAGTATACTTTCAATATCAATAAATCGTAAATAAACTGCAATGCCAGTGAAAGTAGTATGGTTTTTGCGCGCGAAACAGAGTACAGAAGTACAGACACAATTCACGGAAGGTCAACAGCCTTAGCCTATCCGCCCCTGCCCCTACCACCACCACTTCACCTTTTACACCTACCTGAAATTAATCGTTTTAACGTGAGCAATAAAATAGTGAATCAAATGCCATGCCTACCACCCATCGACACCCTCCTCCTCTACCCTGTCACCCACACTACGCACTACGTGTGAGCTGTCGTCTGGTGTTAATTATTGTGCCAGTGTGTTTTTATGATTTTCGTATTCTGTGGTGTCTCATAAGAGTTATTTTATGTCGAAACAAAGTAAACTGATCGGGTTTTTCGCCCCGAAAAGAAAAATTTGATGGCGCTAGCTGATGTGGCAATGGGACAACGAAGTTAAGTGATTTTAGTACTCACCTTCGAAATAAAATTTTTTAATTAGGCCAAGTCCCGTTAACATATTAATCAAAATATTCAGTGTTAAAGGATAGAGAAACATAACGTTAAATGTTATCATATAACGAAAAGCCTAGCCTAAGTACTTAATTGCATAAAATTTTATTAAGCATTAAAACCAGATTTAACTTCCTAAACGCTTAAAAATAGTGTTTAGAGAAGTTATTTTTCTCTAATTTTCTGGGGAAGGACCCCTGGAACCCCCCTTCCTTGCTGGGGGATATACCATGCCCCCCAGATCCCCTGGGGGCGGCGCTCGCCGATCTCGCCCAGGGCGGCAAAGTCCCTAGGGCCGTGCCTGCACGCAGCGCATTAGATGTTTTCGCCACCGTCAGCGGTTGGCTATCGAGCAGCCTCATTGAACATGCTACAGAACTGTCATTAGAATTGTCTTTTTTTATTTATAAGGATGACAAACCTACTAAGGGAGTATCTATGTTTAATCTATGGTCTCACCTGGTTGAGCCGGACCATTCTGAGGAGGCTGAGGTCTATACTGGGGTGGGCCCTGTGCAGGACCAGGGTAGCCACCATAACCTGGCTGAGGGTTCAACTGTTGAGGGTGTGGGGGTTGTGACATATACTGAGGATTCATACTGCAACAAACAGACAAACGTTACTACTGTGGCTGTTTACCTATGGATACACATTTTGTTCATTTTTTGGTAGGATTTAAGCATTCAATGTGATTCATAAGCCTAGATCAGTTTAATTTTTGAAGGGAAGCTACCTAAAAGTTTTAATCATAACACACTGCCAAAAACAAAATTGCTATGTTATTGGCCCGCTAACAATTAATTCTAAATTTAAGTAAAAAGAACTGATATTTAATGTGATTCAAGGATAAAAATTATGGATGTGTCAATTCTCAATGCCACCTATTCTTGGACATTATTATCTGTATCAACAGTAAACAGGAATATTTGAATATATAATTCAATAAAAAAATTTGACAGTCAAAATGTTGCACACCAAACTCCATTTGTGCATGAAAAATAAAACTGTCTAAACATTATTTCCAGCATGAGAATATGCAAAGATATATTGCACAGTAGACAATCCAATTGCAGACGTCCGGCTAGTGTTTGGCCGACACAAAATTATGGTACTGGTTCTGGAATTGTGTATATCATTGCAATACGGTACCTCATAAGCAGTTAAGAAAACCAAACATTGTCTTTCTAGTACAAAAATATCGAGCTGATAAAGCATACATTTTTTGTCGTGTTATCAATCATTCAGCCAACTAAAAAGAAGATTCTACTTAAAACTTTTTACTATTTTGTATACGAGTGTAGTCCTAATATTTAACCCATTTGCATTGGATGACGTACCAGTACGTCAAGTCAGTAATGTACAGTATCACAGCTGACGTACTGGTACGTCATCCATGAAATTTGAAAATTCGGTTTTTTAAAAAAATGAACCATTTATATTTACAATATATACATATAATATTTAAATTTTGTTTATCAAAATATTATGTTCCTTCAATGATTTCATATTTACGTAATACAGGCAGCTAATTAACTATTTTTATGAAAAGTATGAAAAATAGTGAAAACGTGTCCTAAATACATATACAAATATAAAATATATATATACATTATATGTTTTATATTATTTTCAACTATAAAATACTATAATAAAAAATAAAAAATAGCCAAATATTTTTCAGGCAAATTGCAAGGTTAATTGGCTTTTATAGCTACCCGAACATCAAATTTTCATTGCCACAAGCGGAAGGGGCAATATGATGAAATGTAGACCTTTGACAATCCTGTGATTGGGCGATTGGTAACCACGAATGTTTTGTGCAAATCCTATGTGAGTGGTCTAAACTGTCTGGTTTCGAGTACATGTAGTTCTCCGCCCTTCTCTGTATGAGTCTACTCAAAAAACGAGTGGACTTGAACGTAATTTGGATTTGACTCATGTGAGTCCGGCGCTGACTGAGAGAGACTCATTGCCTCATGTCGATGTGTTGCTAGCCTAGTATTTAGCGTCTTGGACTTCGGTGCAGGAGGGACGGGTTCGATTCCCCGCACACCCACAACCAGTGTTGGCAGATTGACCAGTGTAAATTATCGTTCAACCAGTCCAGGGTTTGGACCACTTTCCCTAAAAGCGTTTAGGTACTTCCTAATCTAATTCCTCCAGTAAAATGCTACCGTCATAGAAAAGGAGTTAAAGAAAAAACAAGTCACAAAAAAACAGACTCGCATTCTCGTTGTACTCAACTTCCCTACACTCATTATCACGTTGTACTCAACTTCCCTACACTCATTATCTCGTTATACTCAACTTCCCTACACTCATTAGACTCAATGACGACATTTGAGACATTTAGACAATTAATTATTTCAAATGCTTTTAATTGTAGCCTAGTGATCTTTCTTTTTGTATTAGGCTATGAGCATAAACAACACTCGAATGTTAGGCCTATAATAAAAATTTTCTTTTGATATTTGTTTGTAATATCTTTATTTAACTCAAGACTGTATTGCATAATGGAAAAAAATATGGCATAATAAACTTTACTATGAGCTATTTTTTAGAATTAATTGTAACTTATTTCTTAAAACATACATCTGGAAACAAGTTGTATGTAGGCTAATTTTTTGCTACCATTTCAATATGAGGTTTCTATGTCATATTTTTATCGATATTTAAGCCTAAAAATGTTGTCTATTCGACAAAAGCTAAGATATCATTTTTATAGGGGGGGGGGGCGGCTACGGTAATTAAACTAATACCGTTTGCTTATTTTGTAGTGTAGCCTAATAATAATACATAATCGTACTCCGCAATCGCTGCAAAAGCGTACATTTTTCATTTGCGATAGTATAAGCTCGCGGCATGACTCAGCCAACTGTCTTTAAAAGACTCTGAATTTTGGTAAAAATCTGATCCTAATGAGGTCCGGTCCCAATTGATTCGGATAGTTGGAGTTCTACTGTATTACCGAAAACATAAAGCTTTCAACTTTGGAGTATTATTGCAAAGTACCGGTATTCCTTATCTCTTACTACATGTATAAAACAGTTTGATTTTGACCTGAAAAAAGCGTTATAACCTCTAATACAGCAGTCCATAGGTTGACAGGTATCATTAATAATGCACATCACATACTGTTAATTGAAGGAGGAAGTGTTTGGCAATTTTGTTTGAGTAGGCTGGTGCTGTTAAACAATAACTTGTTGTTCTGACCTACAGAAGGCTGTTGCTTTAAGTAGGCCAGTGCACTATTACCTTATTACCTCCTATTCGTCTTTGACCAGCCAGTGCTGGATAGACAGCGTCAAAACAATAAAAATAAAACTTTCTTCAATAAAACATATATTTACAGCTTAAACTTTAGATGGTGGTGGGCGGTCAAGAGTTGATGCTACCTCAAAATTCAAATTGTCAACTGAGTAGAACGGGTTTTGCAGGAGGAGCTCCTTGATCCTTTCCTTGAATAATTTAGGCTCTAGCTCTCTCAGGTGGAGTGGCAGGACATTGAACATATTTACAGCAACTGCAGGGAAGCTATCTCTTGTCAGGGACAGTCTATATCGCTGGGTATTCAGCTTCTGTTGCTCCTCTAACGTTATAGGTGTGGAGCTGGCCTCGGAGTTCAAAATTGTTCAGGTTGGTTTTAATGTGAACAACACAGGTGGGAGACAACATGTCGTGGGAGACAATGTCAGAGGCTTTCGACAGGTCGCAAAGGACCACAGCCATTGACTGTCTATTTTCAAAGGAGTCCAATACCTCACTGATCAAGGAGATGAGGGCTGTTGTTGTTGATCTCAAATTCCGAAACCCGTGTTGGTAGGCTGTAAAATAGTTATTTCCTTAAAAATGGTCGACAATCTGTCTCTGACGAATCTTCTCTACAATCTTCCCTACAGTCGGGATTATTGAGATTGGTCGATGGCTTGAGGTAAGGTTGGCGTCCCCTTTTTTGAAAATAGTCCTTGAGATTTTAAGGCAGTCTGGGAAAACACCCACCCGCAGACACCTGTTTATCACCTTCGACAGAGGCAGCGACTCTTGATTTCTCCAATCCGGTTACCAGCTGCTTGTAATGAAGTGTTTCAGAAGACCTGAGGTAAACACCAGGAAAGGTACTCGGTGACATGAGGGAAAAGCACTGAGGGAAAGTGCTGAGGAAAAAGGGCCCAGTGCTTTCGCCGGGGGCCGGTACTGGGTACTTCCCCCCACCCTCCAAGCACTTTCTGGCCCTATATAAGGAGCATCCTTGGGAGACTTCGTGAGTTGGGCCTCCGGGCTCACCCCCGCCGGTAGGCGCCACCGGTGGATCCCTTCCCCCGCACTAGAGGCGTGTTGAGCTCGGTGCATCCCGTCCCCCAGCACTAGAGGCGTGTTGAGCTCGGTGCATCCCGTTCCCCCGCACTAGAGGCGTGTTGAGCTCGGTGCATCCCGTTCCCCAGCACTAGAGGCGTGTTGAGCTCGGTGCATCCCGTTCCCCAGCACTAGAAGCGTGTTGAGCTCGGTGCATCCCGTTCCCCAGCACTAGAGGCGTGTTGAGCTCGGTGCTTCCCGTTCCCCAGCACTAGAGGCGTGTTGAGCTCGGTGCTTCCCGTCCCCGCACTAGAGGCGTGTTGAGCTCGGTGATTCCCGTTCCCCGCACTAGAGACGTGTTGAGCTCGGTGTATCCCGTCCCCCAGCACTAGAGGCGTGTTGAGCTCGGTGCTTCCCGTTCCCCCGCACTAGAGGCGTGTTGAGCTCGGTGCATCCCGTTCCCCAGCACTAGAGGCGTGTTGAGCTCGGTGCATCCCGTTCCCCAGCACTAGAGGCGTGTTGAGCTCGGTGCTTCCCGTTCCCCAGCACTAGAGGCGTGTTGAGCTCGGTGCTTCCCGTTCCCCCACACTAGAGAAGTGTTGAGCTCGGTGATTCCCGTTCCCCGCACTAGAGGCGTGTTGAGCTCGGTGTATCCCGTCCCCCAGCACTAGAGGCGTGTTGAGCTCGGTGCTTTCCGTTCCCCGCACTAGAGGCGTGTTGAGCTCGGTGCATCCCGTCCCCCAGCACTAGAGGCGTGTTGAGCTCGGTGCTTCCCGTTCCCCGCACTAGAGGCGTGTTGAGCTCGGTGTATCCCGTCCCCCAGCACTAGAGGCGTGTTGAGCTCGGTGCTTCCCGTTCCCCGCACTAGAGGCGTGTTGAGCTCGGTGCATCCCGTCCCCCAGCACTAGAGGCGTGTTGAGCTCGGTGCTTCCCGTTCCCCGCCCTAGAGGCGTGTTGAGCCCGGTACATTCCGTTCCTGTACTAGAGGCGTGTTGAGCCCGGTACATTCCGTTCCGGCACTAGAGGCGTGTTGAGCCCGGTGCAGCTGGTTGGCGTGTTGAGCCCCAGCATCCGTTTTATTTCAGTTTAAGTCCCCGGTGGCCAATGGAGCTGCCTCCCGGGACCATGAATCAGTCTGGAGGGGGATTAAGAGGCCCACCTTTACTATGTAAGATCGTGTGGAGCTGCTGCGTTTGGGCTCTGGTTGGTGAGTCGCCCAGCACTTCCCGAGACGGAGCCAGTTAGAGGACTGCAGGAGCTGGGAGAAGAGGACTGCAGGAGCCGAGAGGAGAGGACTGCAGGAGCCGAAAGAAGAGAACTGCATGAGCCGAGGAGAGGACTACAGGAGCCAAGGAGAGGACTGCAGGAGCCGAGAGAAAAGGTCTGCCGGAGCCGAGAGGAGAAGTCTGTAGAGCCGTGCTGTTAGGACTCCTGAGAGCCGTGGAGCAAGTGGGAGAAGCCACAGGTTGGGCTTCACGAACAGAAGAGATTTGTATATATTGTATATAGTTTTTGTGTAAATAGTCCTGAAATAATAAATGTGTTGTAATCCATGCAAGTGTTCAGTCAATCTGAGTCCTAAAATCCCCGAAAAGGTCTGAATGCTATACAATGGTAAAAACCTGAGAAATTACGTTACATGCTTTTCTGCCTATGTCTTTAACTGAGTTGACAAAGAACTGGTTATAGTCATCTGGACTAGAGACTTTGTTGACTACTTCATTTTTCTTTCTCGAGTCATTTATCACTGACCATGCAGCCTTACATTGGTTTAGGGAACTCTGGATGTGTACTATGGTTGCTCTTTTTTTGCGTCGTTTACCTGGCATTTGTAATCACGCTTCGTTTTTAGATACAGAGAGTAAAGTTTGTCCCTTGCATTAGGAGATTGTTCGGCCTTATATTTATCAAAGATCCATTTTATATAAGCCCTGACCCTGCCTAGCTCGGGTGTATACCAGCCCTTGGCACTGCATGCGAATACCCTTGAGGCGAATAGGGGTGCACACTTGATCAAGGGTTAGTTTAGTGTGGAGTGGTAGGTGTGGTTCACCGGAGGACAGGACAGGGTCCTGCTGGGGGAGCTGGAGCCCAAGGCCTTGGGTCCAGGTAAGGCAATGTTAAGGGTTTTCCAAATTGGGGTTTCAGTTTCCAACTAAATGATTTATACAGTTCCAGTCTACTCTACCTTTTTGATTGTTGGTTTATTTTTGTGTTCTTTGTGTTGTTTTAAGTAATTAATGAAGTTGGGTTTTGTAACCGAGTGCTGAGTTTAATTCCTGAGCTATGTCACCCAAAGTAACAGTGAGTGCCTCAAGTAAAGGACCGACCGTTAGGCCTACAAGGTTAAATTGTTTCAACAGCACCAGCCTACTCACACAACATTGCCCAACGCGTCCTCCTTCCATTACAGTACCATAGCCTAAATTAGGACTGATAATATATTTATTGTTTATCTTATGGTTACCTAATGTAAAAAGTGTTAGGCCTACTACCAGATGATTTTCAAATTGCCGAATCAGAGTTGTTGAGGTACCGTACCTAGTCACTTCAAGTTGATGACGTATGATTGAGAACAATCATGCTTATGCCTACTTCAACCACGGTTCATTTCACTTGTAAATTAAATGTCATCCATCCTACCTTGTTTATTCAAACATCGTACATTTGGATGGTGATATCATCTATGGTGAACAATAATGGCATTTGGATTGTTTGTTTTACATAAACTTACTGTTAAGTCACCAATAAACAGCTGTTCGCTCCCACATAAACAGTACATTCCTTGCTGCCAGAACTTGGACAAACCGCTTAATGAACCTCAAATTGGTTTTTATCTTTTCTTAATTTTTCGAACACTTTAAGGTTACTTAGAATTATTTCTGACAAAACATTTTCAGACTCAGCGCTACAAAAGTTTGTGGACACAAGAAAATAACATTTCCAATCTGTGAAAGTAACTTATAGGCCCAAGTTAACTTGGGCTAGCCTATTCACCAAACTCAATATTGTTTACTTACTAGAGCGATTATTATGAGTTATGAAACCCCTTAAGTAAGTTATAGCTTATTTAATGTAGCCAGATAACACAGCATAATTCATATTCTAGGCTTAACTGGCATAAATATGCCTAGGGCTGGGCATAAATAAACTAGGGCTAACTGTAGGCTAGGTAACAGATTAAGAACTGGTGTTGTCGCCTTTCAAGTTTGATCAAAATACTATTCCAACAAGTAAGCCTAATTTTAATCAAAGAAAAGTAGTTACCCATATGCATAAGAAAAGAATCGAGGGAAGTGTACATAAAAATTAAAAGGACTGGATTAGTAGTATCAATTTGGGAAGCAAGTATTGATGTCACATCAAACTAAAACAAATTATGCCCAATAACAACAATATTAAGCAATATAAACTAATAAACAGTAAGCACTTCACAACACTCACTTTTTGGCGACTCTAATATCTCTTAATAAATTGTAATATTGGCATATCTACTTAAAATATTTAATAAATATCATCGGACTCAATCACAACACGTAATTTTGACATAAACAGCTGCTCTTCTGCCACGTAAGGTCGTTCTGCACATGCGCACTGAAAGCCACGTCAAAACTGCCACTTTAACAGATAATTAGATTTAGTTGAATAATACACCCTATCAGTACTATAACAAAATCTAAGTCGATGAATCCTAATTGGCTTAGTCCACTATATATTACCACTCAATAATGATTGAAAAGTTAGATTTAGGATAAAATATATTTAATATACTGGGGAGGATATGAAGCTTACATACTTTTAATCTCTTAATTACCTTAATTACCTCCTCCTTGACCGAGACCAGCAGAGCCGGATAGGTTGCGTCAAATTTCTATTTACACTATATACATAAAAACTTCCATATATACATATACTATATACATTAAAAATAGTCTTGTAGGCTGTAGTATGGTTTCTCCCTCAACAAGTTCTTCAGAGCTGTACGAAAGGCCGTTCCCCCTTGGTTTTTGATTGACGTAGGCAGGTGGTTGTAAATCTTCAGGGCAAGCGTTGGGAAAGAGTTTTTGGTTTTAGACAGCCGACAGAAAGGCATGTCCAGGTCGGAGCGATGTCCTGTACCATGGCTATGAACAGTATTTCTTGTAGGGAATTTATGTAGGTTTGCCTTCACATGGTCGGCTGATAAAAAAATGTAATGACTGGTAATTAATAGTTAAAATACCGGTGCTGACAAACAGAGGTTTGCAATGGTCATTTCTGTTACTAGAATTTAAAATACGTACTGTTTTTTTCTTTTTTCTGCAATTTGAGAAGTTCATGACATGATATGGTGCATGGCCCCGGAGAAGGAGACCATAGCTTAAAATACTATGGAACAGAGCGTGGTACACTATACCTTATTATTACCTTTTTTACCTTATGACCAAAGCTGAGTTGTTGACCAGCATAGCTGGATAAACTGCGTCAATTTTTTAAAATATAAATATTAATTATTTTACTTAAAAATAAAACTTTTATCTTTCAAGAAAATAAATTTGAAAGTTTCAAAAATAAAAACTTGGCGGGTGACTACGGAGGTGATTGTGAATTTTTGTCGATCGTTGGCCAACGGTATGTTTTGGCACTCAGTCTTACGGTTGGCCAACCAACCAATTTTTGCGGAAGGGCCAACCATCCCATATTGGGCCTAAACATAAAAACACAAAATAATAAAGATTTTGTATGAAAAACATAATTATGACTTGAGTAAATTAATTAAATAGTTCATAAAAACTTATTTTGAAAAAAAGCGGGATAAATTATTTTGGAAGAACGGGTCTCGAACCCGGTACCTTCGCCTTGTGAGCCTCACGCCTAACCTCTGAGCTAACTGTGCTTGTTTATTATGGGTGTTTTCAAGTGGTAGAAGAGTAGCCAACAGGTGCAATGGTCACAATACTTAAAATATTTTTGATGATACAGTAATATATGATTCTGTTTTAGGCCTCAAGTAGTTGAATTGTTTTTCTGGTAGTTGGAGAGGATACTCTAGTATTTGAATATAGATTATTTAATTTTTACCATTAGATTAGTAGGCTACTGTTATAATTGATTGTTATATAATTAATTAATCTTTCCCCTATAACAATTAAAAATTTGCTTAAATAAGTTAAAGAATATTGTTTAAAAAAAATGGAATTATAATAATCATTATATGTTAAGCAGGTGTTCGGTGTTCCCCACTGTATCTAGTATCATATCATCTGACTACTAATTATAGACCCAAATTTTTACAATATTTGTCTTATGCCTATATTCTGCTGACATAACAAAATATGTACTTTTAAATAAATCAGTTCTTTAAAATTCGTTTTAGAATGTTTTATACTTAAACCCAACGAAGGCCCAACGAATACCAGCTTCCGTTGGGCCAACGTTGGCAAATCGTTAAAATTTCTGCCAACTACTATATTAATTAATTTCCCAACCGTGCCGACCATTTCCCAACGTTGGGCCAACGATGTGTGCTACTTGGGGTTAGTACTTCTCACGCCATTGTAGATTTTAGGTTTTATCCAGGTGAAACTGAAACTGTCAAAAAAACTTCCAAGTCATCTGTTAGTTAGTATAGACATTCAGACCAGTGACGTAAGACGTAATAGTGTGTGTGTTTATGATCGACAACGTTTCCATTCTTATACTGGTAGAAAAAGATTGTGAGTTTGAAAGAAATAATTATTGCTGCCAAAGACTAATTATTAGTGTCGTTGTCGTAGGCTAATTAAGACCAACAGTCTGTCGGTGGCTCGCATTAACTACAACGATTTCAATTTGAATCCTGGTGACAACTTCATGGGGGATAGAATTTATAGTTGTATCGGGTCACCATCAATCAATAGTCCAAGCTACTGCTCAAAATTAACATACAGGCAACAAAATGGGTAATATAACCACTAGTACAGTAGTTCAAGCTCTTGAATTACATTAATTGCCTTTATTGTTATGTCAACTGAGTTCTTGAGTAGTTAAGAGGGTTGTGTTAAAAAATTCTGGTGAATTTCCGAACAATCCCAATCCTAACTACGTTTTCTATTTTAAAGTATACTTGAAGACTTTCAAAAACAACTTGTGGAATGGCTTGACGCCCATGACCTACTGAAGGCCATGTACATATACTAAGCGCGATTCCCCAGTACAGTTTTAGAAGTGGCCGTCCACTTCTAAAACTGTCCTGGGAATCGCTATATAGGTAATGGGCGTCAAGCCATTCCACAGGAGGATCCACCACCACAGCCCTTCTAAACTTTGTTGAGACGATAACTAATGTTTCCGAAAACATCAGTGACATCGCTGCTTGCTCTATATGATCTCAGCAAGGCTTTGTGGTCTCGCGTGTGACATTCTGGTGATAAAAATTTAGCAAGTAATGGAATCAGTGACGGTCCTGAAACACTCTCATGGCATGGTACCTTTGAAAACCAGAAGCAAATTGTATCATACTGACGGAGTGGAGCCTCCTCCAGAGTTGGCGTAATTTTACACGGAGTGCCAAAGGATCGGTCCTTGCTGCTGAGTAGGGAGTAAATGTTTGTTCTGGCACTCGAAATTTTGAAAAAAAAATTGGTTTTTCGCACTTTTGACCCTAAAAACACAAAATTTCCCAATTTCATTTTATACCTTTTTAAAGAGCTTAAAAAACAAATAATTTAGTGTATAAAAGTATTTTAGTACGGTTATTGGTAATGACAAAATAAAAAAAATAAAATTTTAATTCCCCATGTTATTCTTAGGGAGAATATTGTAAAACTTAGTTGGCTTGTTTATGGATATATTTTGATCAACCTTTGCAAATTTATTTATTTTTTTACTAATCTATTAAAATTTTACTAAATACACACTTTATTAGTTTCCTTGTAGCAGTAAACTTATGTACTCGTTAAACCTAATTTTCTTTAAATATATATAATTGAAAATCAATTCAGACAAACGGAAATTCGCTTAGTCGGCAGGTTTGCTGCGACGGGGGTATTTAGAAGACATTTTAGATTAATTTTTGTATGCAAATTCTGGCTCTACATAACCCCATTACTTGCTACCGCTTGCTACGCACTTTTGTGACACCCAGTATACACCACATTCGTGGTATGCACTTTAGACCTTTATAAGCAACTAGCTGTACCCCGTTTAACTTCGTATTCGCATGGCTCAATCACGTCCCGGTTGAAGTTCGTTCGCTACGCCCACTCATCTTTAGGTTGGAGCTCGTTCGCTGCACTCACTTGTTTTCAGGTTAGCTCGTTCGCTACGCTTACTCGGCTCCAGGTTGATGTTCGTTCGCTACGCTCACTCACCTTTTGGTTGCAAATTAGATGTTGTCATAAATTTTAAAAAGTCATCCCTTTTATTGTTCATAATACTTTGATAAATGTTTTTATGTTTTGATATTTAACATTGGAGAATGTATACGTTGTTGCACACGTGTGCTGCGATTGGGGTTTAATACATTTGGACTTATTCAAAAGTAAAATAGTTTTCTGTGCTGCACTCTGTAGAAACACTGTGGCACTATTTCAAATCACGACTAATGCTAATACAGAATGTTGTAATAATTATTGAAACCTACAAAACAGTTGGTGAAAGTAAACATCTGCTTTTAAATTATATTTATTTGTAAATATTGTAGATCACAAAGTCTGACATTGGCCCACTTAAAACCCTCTGGGGCCCTTTTGACAGATCTGCACCAAACTTCACTCGAACCATCCTTGAAATATGCTTAATAATGCCTGAAAGTTTCATTACAATCTGTAGAGCGGTTTCGGAGTCCATAACGTATATACATATATATATATATATATATATATATATATATATATATACGCACACACACATACATAGTTCCTCTTTTATATATATAGATAATTAATTGATGATTAGAAAAAGCAGAAAGTGATCAATATTTTCCCTCCAAATCCAAACTCCAAATCTCGAGGGCACTGGCAGGATCACACCGGGCTACGGAATGGGCACACGGGAGGGACGATGGCTAAAGGTGTTGTGACGTCACATCTATAGGGGCTAATGTCTTCTCTTGAGGCAGCACGATTAGGCCGGCCACACACAGAACCAGGCGGGGCGGGGCGCGACAGGGCAAGACGAGACGCCTGACTTGCCCTGTCCTGCTGCTGTCACACACAGAATGAGGCGGGGCACGACAAGTAAAAAGTTTAGCCCCCATAAACCTGAAAATTAATATAGGATTTTTTATTTCTGAGCCTTGAGCCGATTTAGCAAACTTTAAATTGGACTTTATACTTGGGAGCAGAATAGAAAACAAAATTCAAACAGCCATACCTCCAGAAGAGATTTTGTAACCCTTAAGGCCCCGTTTATGCACCAAGAGCGGGAGCGGGGTGATAGCAGGCACGCTCCCGCTGTGAAAATTTTGTCAAAATTGTGCAAGCGATAGCGGTAGCAGTTGGTCAACGGAGAATGGAGGGGTACACATTCTTGCCAACTCAAACTCTGCCAAATAATTAACACAACTATTTGTCCTAAGTGCATGTGCGCGTGGGTCAAGTTGGCAACCCTGCCTGCAGCCGCTCC